CTCACGAGACGTTCCAGACAGAAAGGATCCAGGGAGAGTTTGAGAAGTGCTGACCATCACGCTGACCTCTTGGAAGCGGGTGGGCATTTTAAAGACTTGAGAAGTCCTTCAGTGCGACATGTCTTCAGTGTTTGTCCGGTAGCCAGTGCCGCAGGCTGGTCTGAACACCAAGGCGTGCACCCCTTCTCAGTGTTCTACCTAATCAGCGCTCTCCACGCCTTGCCGTGGGGCATGCTGGCTTTCAGGAGCCTGGGTGGGAAGTGATGAGAGAGATTGTGTGCAGCGACTAGAGATGCGTGAAGGGATCACACAGGGAGCTCCTCAGAGGTAGGCCAGGGACATTTATCTGCAGGAAGAACCGGGAGCAGGAAATGACACATTTCACCAGCCCCCACTGCTACCACCCGCTCCAAAAGAGAAGGCAGAGCCAGCACCGGGAGTCTGGGTGCGAGACCAGAAGCCCGGGTGCGAGGGTGGGAGGCAGGAGCCCACCTGGGAGCCCAGCTGTGAGGCCGGGAGCCCATCCGGAAGTCTATGTGAGGTTGGGAGCCCGGATTTGAGGCCAGCCACCCTGGCTGGGAGGAGGTGGCGCTGCGCCAGTCCCCGGCTGCTGGGGAAATTCTGAGTTCCCAAGCCAGCGAGCTGAAGGGCTCTGCTTCAGGGGACATGTGAGAAAGTTGGTGGAGCAGCACATAGGCTCTGTCCCAGGCTGCTGAACAGCCATGCCTCCCCATGGACGAATAATGGCCACCCAAGGGTCTCACGAGGCGCCTTCTCTCCAGGGCCTGCTGTCCATATGGCTCATTTGCAGTGATTCCTGGACTCTGTTTCTCCCCTACTCAAGCTTCAGATTCCTAGGAGAGAACACTGATTGGCCCACGTAGGCCCAAGCAGCATGACACGAGACTGGGTTACACCTGCCTGGCTTTTGGAGGGGAGGGGCCTGGGCAGCCTCAGTTTGCCTGGCTCCGTTTGCAGGCAGTAAGATGGGCCCTGGGAGGCAGCAGAGCTTGTTGGGGGAAGAGCGCTTCTGTAGGAGCCAGCTGAGGGGGATCTGGTACATTAAGCCAGGCTTTGAGCAGCGAGAGAGGAATCACACAGGTTAGTCCTGCAGCTGCTGGGCTGCAAAGCTAATGTCCTGGGAAGATTGAGAATGTGTGCTGGTGCCTGGCCACAGGTGTCAGGAGAGGCGGAGGTGTGGGTAGGAACCCTCTGTTCAGAAAACCGTTCAGTGTCCCATTCGGAGAACGGGCTTTGTCCTTCTCAACAGTCCTGTTGCGTTTATGAGTCTAGCAATAAAGGACTGCCTTGATAGAATGAACAGCAAGGAAAATGTTAGTTACCAGTTGGGAACTGCTTCCTAGGGGTAGGCACACCCCAAGAGATGGGCACCACGAGCCCCATTTTATAGATAAGGAAACTGACCACAGAGAGGCCACTGCCTTGCCTGATCTTCACAGTCAGGAAGGGCGGGGGGGATCACGTTTGAACCCAGGTGTTCTTAACTCCAGAGCCCATCCACCTGGCTCCTAAGCAGCACTGCCTCTGGGCCTCATTCCCGCACACACGAGGCCCTGTTGATTGCCTGTTGTTCTAGCACGATTATTAATGGCGCCTCCTCTCATCCTCAGAAGGGAGGGCCGTGGTTTGAGGGTTTTTCTGAGACGGGGTCTTGCTCTGGCAGCCAAACTGGAGTGCAGTGGAGCGATCTTGGCTCCAAAAGGGTCTTGGTTTGGCTGACAAATGTGAAGACTAGGTGGAGGCTAGATGGTCACAGCAAGATGTTGGTGGGCAGAGTATGGGAAACTCAGCTGGCAGCTGCCCCTCCCTGTCCCAGAATTCCAGGATCCAGGCTCACTTTCTGGGGACAGCTCCGTGTTGTGTTAGTGAGACACCCTCGTTGGCCCTGGGTGCCTGGCACTTCACAGAGCAGCCTTCCGAGAGTCCCGTGACTCCAGGCTCTTGGTGTTTGGACAAAGAGCCCGTTTTTCTCCCTGACTCCAGGGCTCCTGACCCCATTTCAAGGCTTTGCTGTTTGGCCACATCTCCAACATGTCATTGGCCAAAGCAAATCACACAGCAGAGCCCAAGGGCAAAGGGGCTTGGGGGCAGCTGTCAAGGCCTGCCATTAGGTCTGTGGGTGCCTGTTGTCTGGGTTTGGGAGTCAAGTAGCTGGGAAACACCTAGAAGGGATGGGACATCTTTTTTTTTTTTATTTTTTGAGACAGAGTTTTGCTCTTGTTACCCAGGCTGGAGTGCAATGGCGCGATCTCGGCTCACCGCAACCTCTGTCTCCTGGGTTCAAGCAATTCTCCTGCCTCAGCCTCCCGAGTAGCTGGGACTACAGGCATGTGCCACCATGCCCAGCTAATTTTTGTATTTTTTTTTTTTTCTTAGTAGAGATGGGTTTTCATCATGTTGAGCAGGATGGTCTCGATCTCTTGACCTTGTGATCCACCCGTCTCGGCCTCCCAAAGTGCTCGCATTATAGGCATGAGCCACTATGCCCAGCCTGGGATGGGACATCTTTTTAAAAATGGCTGGGGGAGAGCCTGGAGGTCCCACAGCGGGAGGGGAGGGAAGTAAATGTTTGCAAATGAGAGTGCAAACCTCACAGAAGGCTTCACAGAGGAGGTGTCACTTGACTGAGGCCTGGAAGGAGAAGTTAGATTTTCCTGAGTGAAGATGGGTGTTGCACAGGGAGCAGGTGTATACAAACCTCCTGCCTGAGACCAGGGAGTGGAGAGGCTGAACACAGAGGCTTGACCAATCCAGCTGCATAGGAACATTTAATAGGGACTCAGAAGCCATGTCTCGGGCAGCCAGGGGACAGTGGATCCCTGCACTGTTGCCCCCCAGACTCAAGGCTTATGTACTATAGGGTCATGTAACATACACAGTGTTTACAGTAACATGGGTTATGGTCACACATTTACAGTAAGTGTGTGCTCTTAACCGTAGATAAAATAGAAATCTTCGAGGTATTCCTGGAAGTGGGGTTAATCAGAAGTTGACATGGTGCATTAGCATCCAGGAGGGAGTTGCTTCTGGCCCCAGTGGGATAGGGCACAGCTCTCAAAGGGTTGGTGGGGAGGGGCGTTGAGGTCCTGAAGCCTGGCATGCCCTTTCTTTCAACACAGTACTTGGGCTCCCCGCCCCCGTCATTTTATTTCCAGATTCTAAAACTTCAACTCTGCGTCACCAGATACAAGTTCAAGACAGAGCTTTTTTTAGTAAGTCATCATAATGGAGGCTGCGGTGCTGTGTCCGTGTTCGTTTCCTGTACATTTCCTTTGGCGTGAGTAGGTCAATTGCATGGCCCACTCACTGCCATTTCAGAGTTCAGGGCTCCAACCTTGCAGTCCAGCAGTGACACCTCTGTGAACATGACCAGCTCAGGCCTTGAAAAGACTCCTTGCTAACAAAGTCAAGGTAGCCACGAGGTGAAGGAAAACAACCCACGAATGGAAAAACCCATATTCTAGAAGGACAGGTGGTGGAACAGGGAGTCCACACACACGGAACAGGCCAAACAACGGTGGGAATGATGGTGCCAGTACAGGATGAGGTAGTATAAACCATGACGATGTGAAAGTGCGACTCCCAAAACGTGGGGGTAGGGGAGGAGCTGGGAAGTGGCGGTGAGCTCACTTCCTTATCTGAAATCGTCGGTTGTCAAGAGATGCTGTCTATAGCTGAAACATGTTGAAAGAATGAATCCAGCTGCTTCATAGTTTTCTTTCCCTTGGGGAAATAATTTAGAACCAGGAGCAGCAGCAGCATTTGCAGCTTGGTAATTTCTTGAGTTACATTTAAGATGCCTTTGTTCTGTTAAATTTAAGCATGGCACTTTCTCTAAAAACAGTGTGTATTGTATGAGCCCATTTGGGTTAAAACAAAATCCTTTTCTCTGAATATGTGCATAGAGATGTCCCATCGGTGTTCTCTGGGTGTCAGCCGTTCTTCTGGGGGTGCTGTGTTTCCGGACCACGTAACATTTTTGGTTTTGGTACTCTTCGGTGTGACTTGGATTTCTTATAATGAGCATGCACTATTTTTATCAGAGCAAAGCTTTTTTTAAAAATGAAAATACATTTCTGGAAAGAAAAAAAGTGTTCGTTTGCCAGGCCTCTATCTTACTGGGATCTCTGGGGATTCTTTCCAGGGGCTGCTCACAGCCACCTCCGCAGGGTAAGGGGTGTGGTTGATCTCCTTGGTGGTCAGGGGCTGGGGGTGCACAGGGGAGGAAAATTTGTGAGCAGACGCTGAAGGTTGCACTTGGGAGCCCTGGGTGCGGGGCCAGTGGCGTCAGGAGGCCTTGACATTAGGCCCATTGAGTCCTCCACTGTTGAGTTGGGTGACAGAGCCTTTATCAAAACTCAAGAAGTCATCCTTGGCTGGGCCTGGTGGCTCATGCCTGTAATCCCCGCACTTTGGGAGGCCAAAGCAGGTGGATCACCTGAGGTCAGGAGATCAAGACCAGCCTGGCCAACATGGTGAAACCCCATCTCTACTAAAAATACACAAATCAGCTGGGTGTGGTGGTGGGCGCCTGTAATCCCAGCTACTCAGGAGGTTGAGGCAAGAGAATCACTTGAACTTGGGAGGTGGAGGTTGCAGTGAGCCAAGATCATGCCACTGCACTCCAGCCTGGCATTCCAGCCTGAGATGCTGTCTCTCAAAAAAAAAAAAAAAAAGTCCTCTGTACCTGGACTTATTTTCAGGTTCACGTAAGGTGGTGCTGTCACAGGGTTCAGCCTGGGAGGCCGCATGGGCTCCCAGCTTCATGCAGGAAGGAATTAAAGAACGAGCTGATAATGTGATAACAGGTTTATTAAGAAAGTAAAGGAATAAAAAAGGGGCTGCCCCTGGCGGCTCAACTCCATAGGCCAGTGGTTATTGATCATAGGGTCCATAAGGAGTGGATTATTTATGAGTTTCCCAGAATGGGGTGGGAATTTCCTGGAACTGAGGGTTCCTCTTCCTTTTAAACCATATAGGGTAACTTCCAGACATTGCCATGGCATTTGTGAACTGTGACGCACTGGTGGGAGTGTCTTACAGCAACTAATGTATTATAATTAGTTCATCATGAGCATGAGGACAACCAGAGGTCACTGTCGTCATCTGGGTTTTGGTGAGTTTTGGCTGGTTTATTGCATCCTGTTTTTTTTTTTTTTGAGACAGTCTCATACTGTCGCCCGGGCTGTAGTGCGATCTCGGCTCACTGCAACCTCCGCCTCCTGGGTTCTAGCAGTTCTCCTGCCTCAATCTCCCAAGTAGCTGGGGCTACAGGCGTGCGCCACCACACCCAGCTAATTTTTTTTATTAGTAGAGACATAGTTTCACCATGTTGGCCAGGATGGTCTCGATCTCCTGACCCCATGATCTGCCTGCCTCAGCTTCCCAAAGTGCTACGATTATGGGTGTGAGCCACCGTGCCCAGCCTATTGCATCCTGTTTTATCTGTGATCTTTGTGGCCTGTGTCTCGGGCTGACTTGCTGTCATCGTGTGACTTCAAATGCCCAACATCCTGGGAATGCAGCCCAGCAGGGCTCAGCCTCAGTTTACCCACAGCCCCTGTTCAAGACGGAGTCGCTGTGGTTCGAACGCTTTTGATGGTGCAGTGTCTGGTAGTCCGGCTGGTCACTAAGGATACTTAGTATTCCATATCATAGGATTCAGTTCCAGCCAGCACCACTGCCAGCCCAGTTGAAAGGCTGAAGTCGAGGGGTCCGGGGTACTCTGGCCTGTTCTGGGTCCTAAGAGCCACTCGTATAGTTGCAGCTCCATCTAGTGTCCATATCAGGACATAACAGCATCTATTTGGTTCACTGTAAAACCCAATTTCCATACCTGCCTGCCATACAGCACTCATTAGGGAAAATTGACCAAAAAAAAAAAAAAAATTTTTTTTTTTAAACGGAGTCTCGCTCTGTCATCCAGACTGCAGTGCAGTGGCATGATCTCTGCTCACTGTAACCCCCACTGCCTGGATGCAAGCGATTCTCCTGCCTCAGCCTCCTCAGTAGCTGAGATTACAGATGCCCGCCTAGCTAATTTTTATATTTTTAGTAGAGACAGTGTTTCACCATGTTGTCCATGCTGGTCTCAAACTCCTGACCTCAAGCGATCCTCCAGCTTCAGCCTCCCAAAGTGCTGGGATTACAGGCATGAGCCCCTGTGTCTGGCCCAAAATAAGATCTACAATCATTCCTCCCAGACCCAAGATTTAGTATTTGAAAACAAATTCAGTACTTTTAAAGATTCAAGTATCCTGTGGTTGAAAAGATGGCAGATTCATGCAACAAAGAGTTAAATGTTGCTAATAATGAACATTTACCGAGTATTATGGGCAGGGCCCAATTCTAAGAGCTTGATTTGTGTAGCTTCTCATCACCCTCACAGCTCCACGAAATGCAACTGCTTATTGTCCCATTTTATAGATGAGGTCACTGAGGCACATAAGGTGAAGGAAAATGTATCCCTTTGCTAATATCTGAAGTGAGGCCAAGGCTGCCCATAGGGCAGGAGAGGAGGACAGCGCTGGATGTGAGGCCATTGCAGAACCAGGGAGAGCTGAGGAGGGGGGTGTGGAGGAGGTGTTTGGAGAACAGCTGGTCTCCAGTTTGATGATGGTGGTGCTGGTGGGGGCTGAGCTTCAAGGGAAGGAAGCTGCTGTCAACAGTTGGAAAGAATTTGTGGAGTTTTCGAGCCTACTGTGTGCCAGGCGCTGGGGAAGTGGCATTCACGTCTACAGGCACCTGTGCTTGCAGAGTGTGCAGTCCTGTGGGGAAGCTGGATGTCAACTGCTTGCAGGTGGACCCGCATCTCTGGAGAAGAAGGCGTGGAGTGGGCCTGAGCCCTGGCTGACAGGCAGGTAGGGAGAGGGCCAAGCATGAGGATCTTGTCCTTGGAGGGCTGGAGGTGGTGGTTTGGGATGGTGGATGGGGAGGATGGTAGGAGACAGGCATGGCCTGGGCGGTAGAATGTGGAGAAAAGCCTTACTGGAGCCAGAGAGGATTCTGGAGGGAGGAGTGGCCAAAAGGGCTTCTGTGTCTGGAAGGGTCACAGGATGTGGTTGACATCAAAGGGCCTTGGACAGAGGCAGAAGAGGAGGGAATCCTCCTCTGCAGCCAGAAGGGAGCTAATCAGGACACAGGGCTGTGGCATGCGGGGGAGGGGGTGTGGAGAAGAGGTGTCTGCTATTTGTTCTGAGGAAGGAGACTGGGCATCTTCACAGGCTGATGAGGAGGTGCCATCAGAGAGGGCTATGTAGAAGGCCCTGGAATGTCAGATTGACGTGGAAATGGGATCTCATAAGGCAGAGGGACGCTGGGGAAGGCACAACAGGCCATTGGACGGGATGAGGAGGAGGTGGGATGGGATGAGGAGGAGGTGGGACGTGCAGGGAGCTGGCCCTAATGGCCTGGATGGGAGGAGATAAGGCCTCCTGTGGTCTGATGAGACAGCCTTGAGAGGAGGGTGTGGGTGCCCCAGTGGCAGAGAGCTGGGTCAGTTCCCGCTAAGGGAACTCAGTGTTCCTCCAAGACAGTCTGACTTGCTGCTGGGCCTGCCCCCCAAATCCCAGCTGAGCTGAGCAGGAGGTGAGAGAGCAAGGCTCCCTAGCAAGCCCTCAGCCAAGTGAAGAAAAACACCACCAAATGCAGAGACAACCACATTGTGCTGCTTTTAATTATGAAAGATGAAAAATGATGCATTATAAAACTTGGAAGCAACTTTATACAAATTCTAATCTTTAAATATGGTTGAACAGGGTGCCCTGGGTTTGGACACTGGCCGGAAGGCTGATGAGTTGCTGGAATGGTCCCATCCACAAGGCACTGGACACATGCTTGGAACCATCTGTGCATAAATCAGAAGAGCCAACGAGTCGGAATGGTCAGTGTCTCCAAATGCGCATCTGGACTTGAAGATACAATGCTTCAGCTTAGGTAATAGACAGTAAATGGAGGAGAAATGAAACAGGAGAAAAGGGACAAAAAGAAGAACTTCTGACATGATCAGGAAAACTTTCTCCTAATGCCCTATGTCCTAAAACCCATAACCATACAGAAAGAAAAAGTGGAAACACAGGCTTTTAGTTCTATGCTGTTTAACTGCTGTGAGAGTAGTACAGTGATCGATTTCTTATGACAAAACTAAATACTGAAGAATAGTTTACTATGAAGTATGCAGCCACTTTAAGTGCCGAGGGCCATGACTGGTTTTGTTACAAAGGCCGCAGTGAGTGCAGGCCCACGTGCTTCGGGCTAGTGGGACCCATCCAACCTGGCAGTGGTGAGTTGTAAAATGCCCAAACCCTTTCAGAAGGAAAGATCGGAATGAGAGACCTCAGGACAAACTGAATTCAGTGCTAAACCATATTGCCACCAGTACATGCCCCCAATCAACTAATCATTCCCCCTGGTGACCCCGTTTTCACAAGGTACCTGGAGGATGCTGGTGGGCAGTGTGGTTCACTGTGGAGGTCGTGGTGTCTCCTGTTGCCTGGCAGGGTGGCTGCTGTGCAGACAGACTGCACTGGGACCCTATGGTGACCCCCACAGGTAAGGCACTGTGCAGAGTGGGGTGTGCTGGGACTTCAGAACCCTTAGAACATCAGCACCATCCCCTGTTGGGAATAAGATCAGGTTTGGGGGACCTTTGAGATTGGAGCTGGCTTCTTCTGGCACACTGGGATGCAGGTAGCATTATGACCAAAGGCTCTGGAACAAAGTCACTCCCCCCTGAGATCCTGAGCACAAAGGGGTCTGAAAGTGTAACTGGGAACAGGCCTGGCGAGGGCAGGCCCTTCCGGAGCTGGGAATCAGGGGAGGAGGGCTCTGGTTTGATGTCCTAATTCCACAGCAAAAATGTGGGGCAAATGTGAAACAGGAATACTCGGATTCTAGAGGAAGGCAGTGGGGTACCCCCTGAGGGTTATTTAAAGATTAGAGGCAAGGTCAGAAGATAGAAATGGAATGAGGTCTGGAGAGGCGAGCCAGCCCAGAGTCTCCTGGCGACACCCTCCCTCTGCACCAGGGACAGGTGTGCTAGATTCAGCCCCTCCTCACACAGCCTTGCTCCTCTGGGTGGAGCAGTCCAGTGACCTTCAGCAACACTCCTGGAAAGGCAGTGGCTGTCCTTTTGTCTTTCCTTCAGGTTCTCCTCCTCTCCACCCTGTCTTCTCACAGCCTAGACTCCTCCCCTGCAGTGCTCTGCCCTCTGCAAACCTCCTGGGCTACCCTAAGTTAGAGGAGGCAGGCAGAGGTGGATAACTGGTCCATCTGTTTTATGAGAAGGTACTAATGTGTAAAGATGCTTACATGAATTAGGCCTTCCTTTCACCATAAACTCTTTTTTCAACCTCAAAGAATGAATCTCTATTTGAAGCAAGTTAAAGGAAAACATATCTGAGAAGTCCCTCGGGGTCCCCACCTGCTCAGCCCTTCCGGATGGACACAGAAGATAGCTCTCACCCGCCCGCATGGAACGCAGCCCCAGGAGAATGTGGTGCCCAGCTTCACTGTGGGTTTGCTCACCTAGTGTTAAAAGCATATTAAAAAGTGCATGCTTCACCATAGGCACGAGTGCAAGAAAAGCTAGAGCTCTGAGATTTGGCAGGGAGTGAGTGGGGATAGCTACAGATTAGCCTGCCTTATAGCGTGGGGGACCAGTCACTCATCACACACCGCACACACAGTTCACAGCACTCACTCCAGCACACGAATGTGCTGCCATGCATGAGTTCAACAATGAAGAAGGCACTGTTCCTGCCCTCAAGGAGCTTACGGTCTGCGTGGGGGACGTGACGCCCCCAGTCCACAGAGACAGCTCTGGGGCAGGATGGGAAGCTCAGCTGCTCCGTGGGTGTGGTTAGCACCTCAGCTCCTTCCAGCTGCTCTAAGTGGGGAGCTCCGTGCTTATCTGGAGTTTGTCCAGAGGCCACCTCAGTCTGCGTCTTCCTTTCCCACACCCTAGGAAGAAGCACGGTTCTCTTCAGGCTCATCAGTGCCATGGGACTTTTCAGTGACTGGAGAAAATGGTCTTCCTCCTCCTCCCCCCGTCCAGAAGGAAAAGGTACTGAAGCAGCAGAAACCAACTGGGAGAAAATAAAATGAGCCTCCATCTGCCTGACTCCAGCTTACCCCAGACTTAGGGCAAAACTTCATGTTATAATTCAGGCATGGACGAGAGCTGGGGCGTCTGCTCAGCCTGGGAATGTCCCCTGCAGGAGGGGCTCACCCTCCGGGTCAGGTCTAAGCAGGCATGGAGGCATTCCCTCCCGCCGCTGCTCCAGTCCCACCTTCAGTGTGGATGGAAATCAGTGGTTCTGAGCACTATGCGATGCTATGGAGGCTCCCGTAACACAATTTTTTCTTCTCTGCACATCGACTGACTGGACGGCCAATACAAAGACAGAGTGGAGATGAGCTTCCAGTTCACGGCAGCTCCAAGCAGCCTGCCTGCTGCAACACAAAGTTGGCCACAGGCCGGAGAGCAGGACATAGCTGTGTGATCTGGAGGAAGCCACCGTGTCTGCGACGGGACCTCCCTGGAAAGCCTAGACCGTGGCATTGGTTCCTTCCATGTCAGGATAACTAAAGCCCGGGGTGGCAGCTGGCTCCATTCTGTGTTGGCTGTTGCAGAAAAACGTTCTCCTGCTGCACTGGAGTTTTCACAGTCTGTCCGCTCGAAACGTCTCTTCAACAGAGGGGTCAAGCAGGCCCATGCTGGAGTCACTTAACATGTTGAGTCCGTCCAGGCTCAGGGGTTCAATTTGCAGTTCCTCTTCCAGTGGAAACGGAGTGTCCACATTCAGGCTGACCTCCGGCAGGCCTGCCAGTGCGCTGCTGAGGTCTTTGAACAGGCTGGAGCTGGCATCTTCTGAAAGGAGGTCCAGAGGGGAAAACAGTGCATTAGCAGATGTGAGGGCTCCAGGCTACTGGGCAAATCCAGCTGAAAAAGGGCTCCTAGACTGCCATCCCATGTGTCCTGACCATCCCCAGGCCCATAGGTCTTGCCCTGGAATCTACATTCTTGTAAGGTGCACAGCTCCCAAATGCAGGGATTTCCCTTTTCAACCGTCATCAGTCACCTAAGACAATCTTCAGGAAAGGCTCTGACTACCTGGACCGCTGCCCTGCCTCACTGTCTCTAAGGCTGCACACCTGCATCTCAGAAAGCCAAGTTGAGCCAGGCCAGGGGACGTTTGTTTTTTGTTTTATATGTTACGTTATTTAAACTGCCTTATAAAGGTATCTGAAAACACAGCAAAAGCAAAGCAGTGAAGCTGAGGGATGGCTCACTCACCTGTCAGGATGGCGTTTGGGAAACTTCCACAGTTGGAATATGGGCTTGGTCTCAAATGGAAAGAGTCCTGTGGGTCTCGGGAAGCTGGCTGCACCAGGGGCACCTGAAGGTGTCAAAGGTTGCGCTGTGAGGAAGACCAGCCTCTGCTTCCGGGGAGGAAGCGGATATTGCCATGTGTTTTCAGAATAAAACCTGACTTGCAAACAGATAGATACCCCCTTCTTTCCAGGATCCCAGAGTGCTTTGCTCTTGAGGTAATGACTGCAGAATATGCTTGTGAGGCAGGCAGATGCTGCAGGGAGGAGGGATCCCTGAGGCCCACAGTGTGGTGACTTTTCCCAGCTCACTACACCCACCCAAGAGACCAGTGGTCGTGGTTTCTGTGGCCTCTCTGAATCTGACATCTCTCCTCAGCCTCACTAAGGCCTTTGCAAACTGCCTTCTGTGGGAACCCTTCACAGGCTTGTCCATAGTCAAGGAAGTAAGAACTCTTTCCTTCCTTGATTTCTTTCTTCCTTTTTAAAGACGGTCTCTGTCACCCAGGCTGGAGTGCAGTGTTGCCATCTCAGCTCACTGCAACTTCCACCTCCGAGGCTCCCAAATAGCTGGGACCACAGGTACACTCCATCATGCCTGGCTAATTTTTGTATTTTTTGTAGAGACAGGGTCTTGCTGTATTTTGTCTAGGCTGGTCTCAAACTCCTGGGCTCAAGCAGGCCACCTACCTCAGCCTCCCAAAGTGCTGGGATCATGGGCATGAGCCACTGTGCCTGGCCTTTTCCCTGGTTTCTAGAATACTGAGAAAGTGGAAACTTTTCCTTTTCACACTCAGATGGAGGAAACTCAGGCGAACTCCTCCCTATGAGAAAGCCTCTATGAGAACTGGTTATAACTGGGGCCAATTTTAGGTTCCTTTTCTGAAACTGATTCTCTAATCCATTTAAAAAATCTAATCCCTTTTTTAAAATGTCTCAAAATGAGTTTCCCCTGGTCAACATGGTGAAACCCCATCTCTACTAAAAAAATACAAAAATTAGCTGGGCATGGTCACACACACCTGTAGTCCCAGCTACTCAGGAGGCTAAGGCAGAAGAATTGCTTGAACCAGGAGGCGGAGGTTGTGGTGAGCCGAGATCTCACCATTGTACTCTAGCTGGGGTAATGAGCAAAACTCCGTCTCAAAAAAAAAAAAATTTTCCATCACTTTTCAGGGAGACACTGATTCCCACCTAGACAAAAATGGCTCTTTGGGAAAGAGGGAGGCAAGGAGGCCTGGTTCTTGCCACAAAGTTTCATCTGTGGCCTGCTTCGGAAACACTATCTTAAGTTACTAAGTTCTTGGCTGGGTGCAGCACTCTGGGATTACCACTCACTTGAGGTCAGGAGTTTAAGACCAGCCTGGTCAACACAGTGAAACCCCAACCCTACAAAAAATACAAAAATTAGCCAGGCGTGGGAGTGCATGCCTGTAACCCCAATTACTCAGGAGTCTGAGACAGGAAGATAGCTTGAACCTGGGAGGTAGAGGTTGCAGTAAGCCGAGCCGAGATGGCTCCACTGCACTCCAGACTGGGCAACAGAGTGAGACTCCATCTCAAACAGTTCTGGCACCTGTTCCACCCCTTTCCACTCAATCCATCTTAGAGTCCTGTCCATATTTACTGAATATTACTGAATACTATAAAACTTAGGAATATTAAAAATAACCAATATTAAGGTGAAACTAAATGGCAAAAGAAAGTGGCCGAATGAAAATGCCTTCCAGAATGAACTCCTCTCCCTCTTCAGGCCCAAGCTCTCCCAGGAAGCCACACCGTGCCAGGTGCCCCAGCCAGACTCTAGGCCAAACGCTGTGCCACCTTCTGACCCTGCAGTGGGAGCAGGCGCCACCCTCCCTATGCCTCAGTTTCAACATGAGGGCACTGATGGGGTGGGTGCTGTGTCCCTTCCAGCATTAGTGACTTACAGTTCTATGGTGGGAGTACCCTCAGAAGTCTCCTGCCACTTGTTCCAACAGTTTCTCTGCTGAATCCTGATACTAAATATGGTAGCCAGTGCCAATGTTTCAGGGCCAAAAATGGTGAAAGGCTCTTCTAGCTACGGAAAACATCCAGAACCAGGGAAGGGGCATGTCTGCTCTGCTGGGTTATGAGTTCTACACACTGAACAACCTAAATGGTACAGTTTATGCAGCAAGGGAGAGGGAGACGGGGCGATCACCCACCTGTTGAGGAAAGGCCGGGCCTGGCCTCATGGACTGCTGGTCAAAACCCACATCTGGGAAGAAGTTGGTCAAAGATGAGCCCTTTAGGAAACAAGAAGGTGACCACTGAGCTTGGAACTCAGAGCAAAGCAAGCGTTTCCTCCCCACCAACGCTCCTGCCAGGACTTACCTGGGCTGGGAGAAGCTGAAAGTCTGACTGTGGCAGGGAAGAGGCTTCTGGGGGCTGCTGAGCAGGGGTCTCCGGGGCGCGGGGCTGCTGCAGGAGGGGCTGGGTGAGCTCCTGGGGCGCAGGGTACGGGGGCGGTGGGGACACCTGGGCTTGAGCTTCTGTGGGCAGGAAGGAAAGCCGGCTTTGGTCTGAGGATGCCATCTGCAAAACACACACACACACACACACAAAGCCACTAATTAGCTTCTGCATTTCTAGTGTTAAGTCCTTTGGGATTAGGAAATGCCAGAGAGAGGATTTTCCTCACCTGAGATTTTCCTCACCACGGTTTTCTATGCAATGCTGAGAAGCCTGTTTCTCTTCCTTCAAAGTGTATCTCACATTTACTTTCCCACAGCATGTTCCGTTCAATGACAATTTCTGTTGTCTTAAAAGGACTAAACAAGGCTGGGCACGGTGGCTCACACCTGTAATCCTAGCACTTTGGGAGGCCGAGGTGGGTGGATCACCTGAGGTCAGGAGTTCAAGACCAGCCTGGCCATCAGGGTGAAACCCCATTTTTAAAAAAGAAATAAAAAAAAAAGGACGAAACAAGAAAACAGCCAATGCAACCAATTTCCTGTTTTCTCCTTGAAAATCACATTTGTTTTGGTTTTTAAAGCCATGACATCAATCTGGTTAAAAATAGAAGACTGAAAAAGGCCCTTCCCTAGCTCTCCCCAAACCCTGTTAAAACAAGACACGGCACCAACATTCACCAGCAATAAGCATGAACAATCCATGACACCAAAATGATCATAAACATGCAGAACAAGGTGACAGGAGAGAAGAAAATGGTAACAAAACCTGGAAAATGAGAGGCAGATGGCCAAGTGGTAACTGGCTTAGCAGAGCTAAGAAAACCCAATGGTAAGCTGGCAGTGAGGAAAAAGCAGGAGGCAATCTTACACCACTAACTCCCCACAGGCCTCTGGAATTGGGGACAGCAGGGAGCAGGGGCTAGAGCTGAAAGCAGATGGTTCTGGTCAAAGTTTGTATAAGGGGTAGTGGGACCTGCAGAGCCCCTGGCTCCAGTGTGCTGCTGTGTACCGCCCTCACCCCCTCTGCTGCCTGCCAGAAGACTGGAAGGTTCTATTCCTGAGAATAAAATGAAGGGTCTCTGGTTCTTAGAAGGTGAGGCACTGTACTGAAAACACAGTTTCGAAGAATTCTCACTATCGAATCTTAAGATCTCCACCTTTCTTTCCCAGCCTGGCTCTAGGATGCCGGAATCCAGGCATATACCGAGGTGTGACACTGGGAGTGTCCTTTAGGGAACCTGACAAGGCCTAAGACAGAAAATCTTTTTGTTTTGGAAACAGTCTCACTCTGTCACCCAGACTTGAGTGCAGTATGATTCCCCCACCTCAGCCTCCTAAGTAGCTGAGATCACAGAAGCATGCTACCATGTGTGGCTAGTTTTTGTATTTTTAGTAGAGAGAGCGTTTCACCATGCTGGCCAAGGCTGGTCTTGAAGTCCTGACCTTGTGCTCCGCCTGCCTCAGCCTCCCAAAGTGCGGAGATTACAGGTGTGAGCCACTGCACCTGACCAGAAAAAAATCCTAAAACTTATGACACCAGAAGAATCCCAAGGAAATGACCAAGCTAGATCATTCTACGATGAAGAGCACACTCAGCAGGCCTGCCCATGCGCACAGAGCTGCCAGCCAGCTTCTCAGTGTCTTGTTCCTCAACGTGAGCAGAGAACTGAGGATCACTTGGCCCTGAGGAAACCATCTGCTATGAGAGTCAGAGGCCAAAGCAGACACACAGAATCTTGGAAAGATCTGTGCAGTATGAAATAGTTGTGATAAAAACAATTAGCATGACAATATTTAGGCTACTAAGAAAATCCTTTTCTATTAGAGATACATATTGAAATATTTGCAATTTTTAAATGCACAGTATGGATGAAACAGTAAGGCCAGCATGGTGGCTCACACCTGTAATCTCAGCACTTTGGGAGGCTGAGGCAGGCAAACCACCTGAAGTCAGGAGTTTGAGAACAGCCTGGCCAATGTGGTGAAACCTCATCTCTACTAAAAATTACAAAAATTAGCCAGGCATGGTGGTGTGCACCTGTAGTCCCAGCTACTTGGGAGGCTGAGGCCAGGAGAATGGATTGGACCTGGATGGCAGAGGTGACAGTGAGCTGAGATCGCACCACTGCACTCCAGCCTGGGTGATACAGCGAGACTGTCTCAAAAAAAAAAAAAAAAAGATAATTGTTGAGACTAGATGAGTATAGGAGGACTCAGTGTATTATTTTCTCTACTTTTATGCAATTTAGACATTCTATTATAAAAAATAAAGATAAATTAGAAAAAAAGACCACTAAAAACCTCAGTGACGATATTTCATCTGTGGAATAAGTATGATGCTATTAAAAAGGAACACTCAGAACAAAAAAGAACTCACAGCAATTTAAAAATGAGAGCAGAAATGGAAACTTCAGCAGAAGGGCTGAAAGATAAAGTTTCGACACTCTTCCAGAAAGCAAAGCAAACAAGGAAAGAACCACAGAGAAGGAAAAAAGAAGAGAGAGAAAACAAGGATATTTGAGGAGAAGTCCAGAGTAGTCAGCATCTGTGGAGTTCCAAAGAGGGAGAGCAGAGAAAATCGAAGGAAAGAAATCACTGAAGAAATATTGACCATGTCCCAGAAAGGAAGCCTGTGAGTTTCCAGATTGAAGGAGCCCACCCAGTATGCAGACTCATGCCAAGCCACGTTATCTTGAAGGTTCAGAACATTGGGGACAAAAGATCTTACAAGCCTTTTTGTAAGGTGGAGGGCAGATTCCATGCAAAGTGTTAAGAATCAGAATGGCACTGGATTTCTCAAGAGCAACTTTAAAAGGCAAGAGATTCCAAGGGAAAATTATTTCAAATTCAAAATTCCATATTCAGCCAAATAATAATTAAATGGCAGATCAAACAAAGACATTTTAAGTCATACAAGGTCCCACACACTCTTTCCTATAGAGAATTGGGGACTGAATTAGTAATACACATAGATATATGTAATTAGGCTAACTAAAAGAAAGGTATTTATTAACTCCTAGGAGGAAAAAATTCTCATTTTATTTCATAGTATACTATATGTCAACTCTGACTACCTTGTAACCATAAAAACACTAAATATTGACTATTGCTCTACCCACAATTATAACAAATGAGGAGGTGGATAGGAAATTGTGTGTATGCACACATGTATCTGCATGCAGGTGTGCACCTATGTGTGTGGTGGGGTTTGTGAGAGTGGAGAGAACTTGATTCCCACCTTCGTTGATGTCATTACATAATACCAAAAATGTAGAACAAAAACATAAAACAACATGGTTAGGCCGGGCATGGTGGCTTGTGCCTGTAATCCCAGGACTTTGGGAGGCCGAGGTGAGCGGATTGCCTGAGGTCAGGAGTTTGAAACCAGCCTGGTCAAAATGGTGAAACCCTGTCTCTACTAAAAATACAAAAAATTAGCTGGGCATGGTGGCACATGCCTGTAATCCCAGCTATCAGGAGGCTGAGGCAGGAGACTTGCCTGAACGCAGGAGGCGGAGGTTGCGGTGAGCCGAGATCGCGCCATTGCACTCCAGCCTGGGTAACAAGAGCGAAACTCCATCTCAAAAAAAAAAAAAAAAAAATACAAAAATTAGCTGGGCACGGTGGTGCACACCTGTAGTCCCAGCTATTTGGAAAACTGAGGCAGGAGAATTGCTTGAACCCAGGAGGTGGAAAAGTTGCAGTGAGCTGAGATTGCCTCACTGCACCCTAGCCTTGGCAACACAGCAAGACTGTCTCAAAAACAACAAAAAAACCAGAAAACCTTGGTTATACCAAAGAGAATAGCTAAAATGGCTTACAGTAGCCATCTCTAGGCAGTGAGAAATATGCCTAAGAAAAAAGGGAAAGACAGTTGCTTTTCTATAACGTCTTTTAGAACTATTTGACTTTTTAAACTATATGCATGAATAACATTCACTTTTTAAAATTCCCACTTTTTTTCTTTTGAGATGGAGTTTCACTTGTTTGAGACGGAATTTTCCCCCAGCTAAAATTCCCTTTTTTTAAAGAGACAGGGTGTCACTATATTGCCAAGGCTAGTCTTGAACTCCTGGCCTCGAGCAATCCTCTGTTCTCTGCCTCCTGAATGGCTGGGATTATGATTAGAGCTACTGTGTCCAGCAACATTCATTTATCTTATAAAAGAATCTTGTTAAATAAAATTAAAGGCAACTCAATAACATAGGAACCACAAAAACAATAATTATTTAGCCTGGGCAATATGGTGAAACCCCATCTCTACAAAAAAAAAAAAAATACAAAAATCAGTCGGGTATGATGGTGCACACCTGTAGTCCTTGCTACTTGGGAGGTTAAGGTGGAAGATCACCTGAGCTCAAGGAGTTCAAGGCTGCAGTGAGCTGTGATCATGCCAACTGTACTCCGAGCCTGGATGACAGAGTGAAACACTGTCTCAAAAAAAAAATAAAAATAAAAACTATGGCAGGATACAGAGGCTCATGCCCGGCACAGGGCACACTGGCTAATTCCAGCCCTTTTGGAGGCTGAGGCAGGAGGATCACTTGAGCCCAGGAGATTAAGATCAACCTGGGAAACATATTGGAGACCCTGTCTCTTTTCTAATTAAAAAAGTTTTTTTTTTTTAGTTTTTGAGACAGAGTCACTTTTTCACCTAGGCTGGAGCGCAGTGGTGCGATCTTGGCTCACTGCAACTTCTGTCTACCAGGTGCAAACAATTCTCCTGCCTCAGCTTCCTCAGTAACTGGGATTACAGGTATGTGCTACCACGCCCAGCTAATTTTTATATTTTTAGTAGAGATGGGGTTTCATCATGCTGACCAAGCTGGTCTTGAACTCCTGCCCTCAAGTGATCTGCCTGCCTTGGACTCCCAAAGTGCTAGTATTGCAGGCATGAGGCACACAACCAGCCCAGGAAGACCCTGTTTCTGCCAAAAAATTAAAAAATTAGCTGGATGTGGTGGCATGGGCCTGTAGTCTCAGTTACTTGAAGAATCCCAGCTGAGGCAGGAGGATTGCTTGGGCCTAGGAATTCAAGGCTACAGGGAGCCATTATCGTGCCACTGCATTCCAGTTTGGGTGACAGAGACTTAAAAACAAAAATTATGAAATGTCCTCTCACCCTTGTCCAAAAGAGATTACTCATACAATCAAGATGCCACAGCTAGTCATTGGTAAAGAGTGACTAATAACAAGATCCTCTAACTCTGCTGTGTTCTGTCAACTGTTCCTTGCTAAATCATTACTAATTTATGGCGAGCTGGTGATTAGTTAATGATGTTATAACAGATTGAGGGTATGGCCAAAGGTTAAAAACATACATTCCTCAGTCATTATGGTAAGGAGAACCACCTCTGAGTTTAGCATTTATAGGATGTTTCAAATCCTCTATTTCTGTAATGAGCAGAATGTATTCTTTTGAGACAAGGTCTCACTCTGTTGCTAGACTACAGTGCAGTGGTGCTATCTTGGCTTGCTGCAGCCTCGACCTCCTGGGCTCAAGTGATCCTCCCACCTCCACTCTGGAGTAGCTGAGCCTACAGGTGCGTGCCACCATGCCCAGCCAAGTTTTCAATTTCTTTGTGTGGGTTTTTGCAACTTTTAAATGTGCCTCTTTCTCAACAGACTTCTTTTCCTCCTCACAAGCGATCTAATCCTCATTATACTTAGTATTTCATGAACAATGAAAGTATTGTTTCAGAAATTTGTAGATAATTGGAGAGGAGGTCTAATCTACTATCTAAGCTTCTGGAAGGTATTAAATGTTCTTTGGCCTTTCCCTATAGCTTAATGTACTTACAGAGTCAATGACTGATTTTCCATGCCAACTTTGAAATCCTAACCTGGTTCCCTTAGCTTTCTTAGATTTATTTGAATGGCATTCTCTGTATCCTGTTGTTCCCCTCGGCCCCAAGTTTGTGACTTAGTGACTGCAGATTGTTCAACATTGCTTAAAAAGTATTAAAGAGTAATCAACACAGCAAATCTGTTTTTTTTTTTGAGATGGAGTCTAGCTATGCGATCCAGGCTGGAGTGCAGTGGTGTGATCTCGGCTCAATGCAACCTCTGCCCACTGCAACCTCTGCCTCCTAGGTTCAAGCAGTTCTCCTGCCTCAGCCTTCTGAGTAGCTGGGATTACAGGCATCTACCACCATACCTTGCTAATTTTTTCTATTTTTAGTAGAGACTGGGTTTCACCATGTTGGCCAGGCTAGTCTCAAACTCCTGACCTTGTGATTCGCCTGCCTCAGCCTCCCAAAGTGCTGGGATTACAAATATTAGCCACCACACCCAGCCATCTGGTATTATTATAATAGAAAATCATTAATTAGGCTGGGCACGGTGGCTCATGCCTGTAATTCCAGCACTTTGGGTGGTCAAGCTGGGAAGATGGCTTCAGCCCAGGCATTTGAGATCAGCCTAGGCAGTATGTTATGACCTTGTCTCTACAAAAAATAAAAAAATTAGCCAGGTGTGGTGGTGCATGCCTGTGGTCCCAGCTACTCAAAGCCTGAGGTGAGAGGATTGCTTGAGCCCGGGAGGTCAAGGCTGCAGTGAGCCATGATTGTGCCACTGCACTCCAGCCTGACCAACAGAGTGAGACCCATTCTCAAAAAAAAAAAGAAAAAGAAAAAGAAACTCATGAATTCATTCTGCATTATCCACACTTCTGCTCTGATTTCACATGTAAGAGTGAATGGACTGCACTTGAGGCCTCACGGGTGCTTAGTGTAATCATGGCTGTAACCCAAAACAGTAAATAGGAGGAACGCGCTTCCTGTATGTTGCAGTCTGTTTCACTGTAGTGGCTGGTCTGTCTGTTTACCTGGGAGGCAGGGTATGGGGCCAGTGGGCTGGTTGAAGACAGCTGTCTGCTGAAACCTGGATGTGCTTCCGGGCCAGGAGAAAGTGTGAGGGGGCTGACAGGAGGCTGCCGACGCCGGGACGGGCCGCTCAGGTTTGTGGTGGAAAGAGATGGGTTGCTAAGGGAAAACAGACGGAGTGAAGGGTGAAGAGCAGATGCGCTGGGAACAGATGTCTGTGGGTGGTTATTTAGGGAAGAGGAAAGTGCAGTCTTATTGAGCGTGGCTTGGATGGAGGGGTTACTCCGAGAACTCTGGAGACCTGGAAGACAACAAATTCACAAGTTACTTATCATTTCAGACCAAATCTTCTATTTTCCAAAAAGGAAAGAACACTGTCTACTGTCACATGCCATGACGATTCTGTAGGTTAAGGAGCTCCTGGACAACTCTCCTCCAGGGACTGCATCTGATGCCTCAATGGCCAGGAGAAGATGCTCCTGCTCACAGAGACACGGCCACCAAGATGAAAACAATGTTTTCCCATGAGGAGGGAGACTGCCTCAACACCCCTGGGTGAACAAGGCTAGGTAAAGGGTGCGTAGCAGAGGCAAATGTTCCAGGTGCTCAGCCCAGACCCAGGGAAAGGGCCCTAGGGCTGTTCAACACATTCTGTTGAGAGCCCCTGAAGGCCTCTGGCCAGAGCACCGTGCCTGCATCCCCTGCTGCCTTTAAGAACATCCTTCCACGGAGTCATGGCCCCGGGGGAACCATCTTGGTGCTCTTTAAGCTCTTTACCCTGAGCATACTAGGGAGTCATAGGAAGGGACACTCCCTTGTATCTCCCACCCCAGGGTCCCTCTTTGATCTGGTTCCCAAGAAATTGTTCATCACAGTCTATTCCAACTCAGGGAAAAGGAAGTTTTTGCTGGTGCTTTATTTGTGGGATGGGTGAATTTTATCATGAATAAGGAAGTTTGGGAGAGGCATTTCAGTGGCGCAGGCTGCTAGGGCAGGAGCTCCGTGAGGCTGGGGATCCTGTCCTATGCCCTGCTGGATCCTCAGCAGCACAGGGCCTGGCATGGAGCAGCTTTGCTCATCGAATCAATCATTCTGCTACTGCTGCTGTGTGGATCTCAACTAGTACTCCCTACCTCCACCTGTCTTTCTTGTAACAGCAGTTTTGTGCTGACAAAAAATTTCAGTGTTTGTTAAAAGTTATGGAAAGGAAGAAATCACAAAAATCAAGCATATTGAGCTGGCAAAATTATTCTTTAAAATTTCATTATATTTTTAGAATTCATGTAAAAGACTTCACTTGCCATATATATATATGTATATATATATATATTTTTTAAACCTGGCAGCGTCCAGTATCACAGAGTACAGTTGCTATATTTTTAAAGGTAGGAACATGTCTATGATCAAGCCCTACATAATTATCCCACCTCACTAGTCCACAAAGAGGGCAGTGATCCAGCTGGCTTAGGTACTAATTAGAGCTATGGCTGGGGACTTAGATTTTAAAAATCCCTTCAGAAAGAAAGCTCAAGCATCTCTGAAACATCTTTTAAATCTTTGTGTGCCATGCATTTTAAGGAGCGCATAGAACATACAGAAACCTGACATCGGTTCTGACATGTTCTGGATAAAATAATGCTTTTTTGAGAAGACAAGCAGTGAATAAACTCTGTAAGATCTTCAGCTTGAAGCAAAGTGTCAAAGGCTGTACTGGAAAATGCCAGCTTCCCTGAGACCCAAGGGAGCTATGTCCTGATGCTGCTTTACTTCTGGGACCCTACATGTCTTCACACATTGAGGATTCACCCAAAAGGTGAATTGCCCAGACTCTGAATCTTGGCATAAAGGTCTTGAGAGTTTCTCCTATGAAGCAAACATAAAACTTCTCCTATGAAGCAAATGTATAAATATCAAAACTGAGACTTAGTCTGTGAAAGACTTACTACTATTAAGGATACAAAAAAGACCCCAAAAACCCAAAAAGACAAAAATAAAGGTGGTGTCTGAAATCAGCTCTTCCAACTAAGCTTATGTTGTACCACGGCAGGATCACTGCAATCACTGGAGAACCCTCCAGGTGACCCCCTGAAGGGGACCACTCTCATCTGGGTGGTGAGTTATGATTTGCATGGATGAGTCTCAGAGTGGAAGGCAACAAACACTCCTTCCACCTGGAGACCATCACTGAGCATCCCTTCCAAATGAAATGTTCCACAACACAATTCTGGGTAAGACTGTTAGGCCAGAGGCTGTACCACACCACTGGGAGTAAACCTGCCCTAAACATCGACAAGATTATGTCAGTGGCGGCTCAGGCCTGCAGCCCTAGCACTTTGGGAAGCCAAGGCGGGCAGATCATTTGAGGTCAGCAGTTCGAGACCAGCCTGACCAATATGGTGAAACCCCGTCTCTACTAAAAATACAAAAACAATTAGCTGGGTGTTGTGGCATATGCCTGTAATACCAGCTACTTGGGAAGCTGAGGCAGGAGAATTGCTTGAACTCGGGAAGCGGAGGTTGCAGTGAGCTGAGATCGTGCCATGGCACTCTAGCCTGGGTGACAGTGAGACCCCGTCTCAAAAAAAAAAAACAAAAGAGTGTCAGGGCTTCAAACAAATGTAGTCATATTTCAATATGGGGTCTGAGCTGTGGACAATCAAACCCGTAGTGTTAACACCCAAGTCCCGTTATGGGCAGCATCTTTATATAGCTAATGCTGCATCTTTAACTGGAACTGTTTTGAACTGTGGGGGATTTCTATTGAATACACAGATATTAAGTAGAACTATTCTCATTATATCCATTGTCAATTTTCTAAAATGCAAAATATTGCCTTTAGGAACCTAATGGAGAATGGGAGGACTCTAGAGAGATGGCCTAAGTTAGAAAAGAGCGTATGTTGACATGAGCCACTAACACCATCCAGCCAGCACAGAGTGGATGTTTATTTCTTGGCTTGCAGATCTTATTCCCAAGTCCCTGGATAGAGGAGTGAGGGAAGACAAGAGGGAATGAGGTTCAGCAGAGCTGCCCACACTCATCAATCCAGGAGAAACAGAAACGCCCAAGAAAAACATCCGCAGGGTCAGGAGACACAGGGAGGTCCATCATCATCTCTGAGACGCAGTCACTCCCAATCGGTGATTCACAAAACAGACCACACTGGTGGGACCACGTATGATTAAGCCACCAGGTCACTGCTAAGCAGGAGATACTCACCAGAGGAGCTTCTGATACCCAGGTGGGTCATAGCAGCTGGGAGATTGCTCACACTATTCCCCACACTCATACTACCAAAGAGGTGGTCGCTGGTGTCCAGGGAGGCTGGCAGGGGCGCCGAGTAGTGGAGGTTGGTTAGATCTGGTAATGACCCTCCAGTGTTCAGGGTCCCCAAAAAGGGTGAGAGGCCCAGGTTTTGACCGTTATGTGGAAAAGCACTGAAAAAAGAAAGATTAAGGATGACTTTCTACAATTCATTTGGCTGTCGGGAAAGCAAACATGCCTGAGGTCTCTTCCTGTCCAGTAAGAGCAGTGGCTCTCGAAGACCAAGGTCCTCGTGCGGCTCTCTCACTCCGAGAACACGGATGCTCGGCTCAGCCTCTCTCAAACACACTTCCTCACCGACTACCTGAGCCCACATCACAGGAATATTAGATTATGGTCTAGAATAATCAAGACCAGATTAGATTATGGATGCAAGAGTATTCTGAGAACTAGAAAGCACTATATAAAATGTGACCTACCACTCTCTATTTATGTAGTTCTTTTTGCTGGGTTTCTAAGTTATCTTTGCTACCAGAAAAAGTATCTCTGAGTAACTAGCTACCTTCCAAGATACATTTTTAAAATTACAGTCTTTATAAACTTAGAGTGACAGTCATGCTGCCATTCATTTATCACCATCCGTGGGCTGGGCGCTGTGTGGCAGGCAGCAGCCGCGTGGTGGTGGCACCATGGTGAATAAGCAGGGCGAGCGTGTCTGGGGTCAGGCCTGCTCCTGACGTGTGCTGGCCAGGAGCAAGTGTATAAAGGAGGCCCGCATACCATCTGTTTCCATTTTTAAAGTTACAAATCAAATGAGCAAACCCTTACATGAACTTTGTTCTGTGTGTCTATCTTGACAAATTATACCTTCATAATAGCCTTCATGATAGCCTGCGAGGCCAGATTTACATGAAGAACTCTCAGACTTCTTGGAGTTCTGTGCCAGAACACACAGGGAGAGGCAGCCTGGCCCTCTGTCCAGTCCCCTTCTCTTCCCCCAATTCTGCTCTGTACTGCAGTGCACACACATGGCATCCCAGCCTATGCGGCCAAGCTCTGTCCACACCACGCTGACTCTCTGGCCATCCCCTAGGCCTAGTGGTGTACAATGGTGGTATGTTCCCCTTGAGAATGAAGCTCTCTCAAGGGCGGGGCCCAGGGAGGGGCCTGCTAGCTAGGTCTGAGAGGACCTTGTCCTTGCAGTTCACACACTGCAAGAGAGACAGACTGGGAAAGCAAGTAAGTGCAGCATGGCAGGAAGCACGTGGTACAGGGTTTGAGAAGGGGTGTGCATGACCAGTGGGTACAAGTGGCTCTGGGAGCACAAACGCAGTTGTCCATGTCAGGATAGGCTCTGGAGGGGCCGGGTTTGTCATGGACGTGACACAAGTGTGTGTGGAACTGTGAGGAGCTGGGCATGGCCACGGTGTCCAGTGTCAGGGCAGCGTAGAAGGGAGGGTAGCAGATGGGGTAGGAGAGGATGTGCTCTTCTCAGGAGCCTTGATCAGGGACGGTAGAAAAAGGAAGGTCAGGTTAAGCTGGAGAATGACATTTCAGAAATGTTGCTCTGGTTTCAGTGTGGAGGATGGCCCAGGGAGCAGAAACAGGCAGGGACAACCAATGAGAAGGACCACTGTAGTGGCCCAGGGGTGACCTAAGAAAAGTGCAGTGAGGGTGAAGCAGTGGAGAATGTGGGGGAAGGTGCCACTAGCCAGGTGCAGGGGGCATCATGAGATGCACTGAGGACACTTTATCCATCCTGCACGTGCCAGGAGAGCACCTCCCAGGGGCAAGCCATTGGCATCTGGGCTTTAAGAGACTGAGCTGTAAGGAATATAACTGGCAACATAATACAATCCCATCATGCAGTGACAGAGCCTGGCAGGAGGCCATGTGGAGGAGGCCTGGCCGACCTGAGGAGGCTTCCTTGGAGGACATCTGAGCTGAGTTTAAAGGCTAAAGAATTCAGGTGATCTAGTTAGGGAAAAAGGTTTCAGGCAAAGCTCACAGCATGGGCAAAAGCAGGGAGGTGTGAGACTACAGGGTGTGCCCTCGGAACTTCGAGGATTCAGACAAGGGAGAGTTGTATTGAGGAAGGCCGGGTAGTTATGGGAGATGGGACCAGAAAAGCAGGCAGAGAGCAGCTAAGGCTGGAACTGATGTGCGGGTGACACTGACATACGGATGATGGTAGAAGGCTGGAAGCGGGGTGGGCAGTGTGTATGGGGAGGGTTATCAGCCTTTCTTAGGATAGTGCAGCTAACAGCCTTGGGGAAGGGGTCTTGGGGTGCAAGGAGCAGACCTGGAGGCAGAGAGGGATGCTGACACTGGTGGACAGTCCAGCAGGAGGCCACGAGCGCAGGGAGGGAGAGCCAGGGTGGACTCCAGAAACGAGGAAGCAGGACTCAAGAACATCTTTGGGGCCTTTGGCCTGGGGACTGAGATGGGACACTGAAGATACGGGAGACTGGGAATGAGGGCAGGGGCATGGATGAGATCCTGAGTTCCACTTTGGCTTAGAGTTTTTGCTGAGTAGGAAGACACGCAGCAGGGGTGTTTCTCTCCCAGTTATACACAGCAGGTAACTGACATTCTCAAGGTTCCACTGAACAGAAGAGGTGGAAGCCATGCCATGGTGGGTCAAGGATGGGTAAACAGTAAGGAACACTTGAGAGTCAAGAGCCTTTCAAGAAGCATGGCTGGGAATTCTGGAAATGAAGGAAGGCTAATTAGCAGAGAAAGGCCTCTGCAAAGCCAGTGGGAGGAAGGCCAAAGAGTAGTAAAGTGCCACCCTGATTAGGACTAGAGGAGGGTGGTAACAGGGGAATCAGTGGCAGAAGAGAGCTGAGCTCTCGCTCCTGCTGGCCTCACCTCACTTTTCTTGGTAAAAGTAGGACTGGGTGATCTGTGGAGTCTTAGAAAGAAATGGGGCAGCAGGAGAGGTGTCCAACCGGATGACGAGGAAGAAGGATCATTTTGGTTGTGGAAAAACTGAATATAAATTTTGTCTTATTTTATTTTTTAGAGACGGAGTCTCACTCTGTCATCTTGGCCGGAGTGCAGTGGTGCAATCTCGGCTCACTGCAACCTCTGCCTCCAGGACTCAAGCAATTCTCTTGCCTCAGCCTCCTGAGTAGCTGGGATTACAGATGCACATCACCACACCTAGCTAATTTTTGTATTTTCAGTAGACAGGGTTTCGCCATGTTGGTCCGGCTGGTCTTGAACTCCTGACTTCAAGTGATCTGCCCACCGTGGCCTCCCAAAGTGCTGGGATTACAGGCGTGAGCCACTGCGCCCGGCCTGAATTTTGTCATTTAGATGGCTGGAAGTATAGAACTGTTTATATGGTTAAAGGTCAAGGACTAGAAAGAAAAAATTGAGACCCCAGAGTCCTTGACGTGAGAACAATGGGCTTTCTGACTGAGAAGGAAGATCCATGGGTGATCAGGTAGGAGTGAAGCAGAGAGTGCAGGGACGCGGCAGGGAAACGTATCCAATGGCACAGAGCAAGGACAGAAAAAATGTGGCCACTGTGAACCAGGTCATTAGTAACATTCACAGCAATTCCTCTGCAGCTGGGACAAATACAGGTGGTTCCTTTCCAAATACAGTTACTACCCATCCGAGTCAGCACCCATCTAAGGAAAGTAATGTGCCCGGCCCCCATTCAAGACCCTCTAATGACTCCCATCTTCTCTGAACCAGATCCAAGCAACACAAGCCTCCTTGAGCTCCAGGCCTCCTCCTGCCTTGGGGTCTTTTGCTTGGTGCTCCCGCTGCCTGGAGCTCTGTCCGCCTCACTTCACCATCAGAAAGCCTTCTGCAATGCCGCCGGTGGCTGCCTGCCCACCTGCCGCGCCTGCATCTCCTTCAGTGCATTTTCCCACACACGAATTCCACCATGCTTTGCTTATTTGTTTCTGCCCATCTTGCTCCACTAGATTATTAGCTCCTCAAAAGCAGGAATTTGATCTGTTTTGTTCATTGTTCTAGCCAGTGCCAAGAATCAGGGGACCAATAAGTATCTGCATGACTTGGAGTCACTGAATGGAATTCTATTTGCAACGTAAGAGCAAGACAACAACTTTCTCTACCTAAAAAACACCTGCTTTAGAACTCTCTGGGTTGGCCAGGCATGGTGGCTCACACCTGTAATCCCAGTGCTGTGGGAGGCCAAAACAAGTGATCCTTTAGAAGGATCACTTGAGGCCAGGAGTTCAAGATCACCCTGGCCAACACAGCAAGACCCCATCTTTAAAAACAGAACAGGTTTGGCATAGTGGCTCACACCTAAAATCCCAGTGCTGTGGGAGGCCGAGGTAGGTGAATCACCTGAGGTCAGGAGTTCGAAACAAGCCCGGCCAATATGGTGAAACCCTGTCTCTACTAAAAATACTGTAATTCCAGCTACTTGAGAGGCTGAGGCAGGAAATCGCTTGAACCCGGGAGGTGGAGGTTGCAGTGAGCCAAGAGCATGCCACTGCACTCCAGCCTGAGTGACAGAGACTCCAGCTAAAAAAAAATTAAATTAAACAAATAAATAAAAACAGAACAAAAAACCCTCTCCAGGGCTAAAGTACTGAAGCCCAATTCTATAATGTAGGCTTTCAGAGCCTGATGGTTAAGCCAAAATTGGCTCTTGAAGAAAATCCTTTTTTTTTTTCCAAATTTCCTTTTTACCAGGAAGCACCTGAACCAGACTAGGTTGAGGGAGACTCTCTTGAGGAAAATCTTGGCCTTTCCATAAAAATGTCCTGCACCCCTCGGCGTCCCGTCTTTTATTGGGCATGTGTGCTGGCAGGCTTTCCGACATTCTTAAGTGAACATCAACCTGTGGCACAGCTCAGCAAATTACCTGAGTTTATGTTTAACTAGACAAAAAGAGGAAAGCATCAGGTCACCTGGCAGCTTGGTTGCACAGAAGTTAATTAAGAGAGTTTCAGTGAATGTACTTAATGTCACTGAACTGTACACACAGAAATTTTTTTTGAGACCGAGTCTTGCACTGTCACCCAGGTTGTAGTGCAGTGGTGTGATTTTAGCTTGCTGCAGTCTCTGCCTCCTGGGTTCAAGCAATTCTCCTGCCTCAGCCTCCTGAGTAGCTGGGACTACAGGCATGCGCCACCATGCCCAGCTATTTTTGTATATTTAGTAGAGACAGGGTTTCACTATGTTGGCCCGATGGTCTCGATCTCCTGACCTCGTGATCTGCCCGCCTCAGCCTCCCAAAGTGCTGAGATTACAGGTGTGAGCCACTGAGCCTGGCCATAGAAATGTTTAAAATGGTAAATGGTATAGCTTTTAACCAGTCAAAAAGAATGCCTGAGCTCCAGGTACTCAGTAGGGAGCGCCTTGAATGTGCTGCTGTGAGATACTCACAGGAAGCTCTGTTGGGGGAAGTCATATTCAAGGATTGCTTGAAGCAGGTTTAGCTCACCCACTGACCCACTGGTGAGTAGGTTTATTTCACCCACTGACCCACTGGTGATTGTATGTACTAAGTCAGACCGTGCAAGAGTCTCATTTCCAAACCACATGATTTTGGCCCTGGGCAGACTTGCTGTATCTGAACTGGCTTCGGTTCCAAGTGGTGGAACTGCTGTCATGGACGCTGTGACAAACAGCCCCAGGAAGCTTTCTTGGGGCTCAGGATAAGCCCATCGAATTCCAAGAGGTTCAGCAGCAGCCTGTACCATCCCACGCAGCACAGCAGCAGGCCCTCCCAAAGCAGCTTATGTTAAGGCAAGGGCCTCGTTACCTCTTTCATCTCCTTGTTTTCTCTTAGACTCAACTTCCTCATGAACTTCCTTTTTCATTTGCTTGTACTATAGATATGTTTGTAAGTTGTCTCAAATCTTTTAGGGAGTGAAGTTGCATACTATTAAATCCACTAACAAATGAATGGTTTCACAGAAACTTTTTTGTATTGCAAATGGAAAATGTATTTATCTTCCATTTATGTTTTTAAGTTGTGGTGAAAGAGATGTATCATAAAATTTACCATTTTAACCATTTCTATGTGTACAGTTCAGTGACATTAAGTACAGTCACACAAACTCTCTCTTTTTTTTTTAAGAGTCTCTCTCTGTTGCCAGGCGCCAGGCTGGAGTGCAGTGGCACAATCTCATCTCACTGCAACCTCCACCTCCCGGGTTCAAGCAATTCTCCTGCCTCAGCCTCCCAAGTAGCTGGGACTACAGGCACACGCCACCACACCCAGCTAATTTTTGTATTTTTAGTAGAGACGGGGTTTCACCATGCTGGCCAGGATGGTCTCAACCTCTTGACCTGGTGATCTGCCCGCCTCAGCTTCCCAAAGTGCTGGGATTACAGGCTTGAGCCACCGCGCCCAGCCTTACAAACTCTGTGCAACCAAGCCGCCAGGTGAACTGATGCTTTCCTTCCCCTCTGGCCAGGACATCACTGATGGCTGCAGCCTGCCACAGCTCAGGGCTAGTAGGCTTCGCTCCATTCCTGCACGTTTCTGCTTCTGCCGCTGCTTTTACCCAGAGAGTGATGTATTTACCAAGTCAGTTGTGTGATTCTCAAACATACTTATGTCACTTTTGTTATTACAGTTATGTAATATAATTACTTTAATGAAATATGAGTATCAAAAGAAAGTGACTGTTTTTATGAAAATGCAGTTGACTTTCAATTTATACATAGCAAATTACGTTTCTGAGAGTTCTGTAACAAAGAAGTGAGACTTTCCTTTCAGGAAAACCTTCAGGATAGTCCCTGAAACACGAACAGAAAGAACGTTACTTACCTGCCACCTCCAACATCACAGGATCGAGGGCGTCCTGACAGGGACTGAATCTGAGAAGAGACAACGAAAGCTAGGTTTACTCACTGAAAGCCAAATTCAAGTTTTTGATAAGTGTCTTCACAAGGATCTTGAGCCTCTAGTCGGTGGAAACGAGAGTCCACATGTCGACAGTGTCCTCACAGAGCAGCCGTTTAGGTTTCGGCAAGACTTGTTTTTTTTCTTTTGAGATGGAGTTGCTCTGTCGCCCCGGCTGGAGTGCAATGGCCCAGTCTCTGCTCATTGCAACCTCTACTTCCTGGATTCAAGTGATTCTCCTGCCTCAGCCTCCTGAGTAGCTGGGATTACAGGTACCTGTCACCATGCCCAGCTAATTTTTGTATTTTTAGTAGAGATGGGGTTTCACCATGTTGGCCAGGTGGGTCTCAAACTCCTGATCTCATCATCCACCCACCTCGATCTCCCAAAGTGCTAGGATTACAGGCATGAGCCTGCCCAGCCTAGGTTTTGGCAAGACTTTTTAAAACTCCAGTTCTAACGGAGGTATAATATTAATATATTTTCTTAATTTGATGCCTTATCAATTTACCTTCTGGACTAATATTAAAAGGCCAGTGTTTTACACATAGAACTTTTTTTTCTTTTCTTTTCTTTTTTTTTTTGAGACAGTTTCACTCTTATTGCCCAGGCTGGAGTGCAGTAGTGCGATCTTGGCTCACTGCAACCTCCACTTCCCGGATTCAAGCGATTCTCCTGCCTCAGCCTCCTGAGTAGTGGGGATTACAGGTGGGTGCCACCACGCCCAGGCTGGTCTCAAACTCCCGACCTCAGGTGATCCACCCACCTTGGCCTCCCAAAGTGATAGGATTACAGGTGTGAGCCACCATATCTAGCTGACGTAGAGCTTTTTTTATAAATTTTATTTTTATTTTGTATTTTCCTTAGCTGCAATTCAAGATGTTGATGTAGAGCTTTTAAATAAACACTTCTTTTCCTAATGGCTTGAAAGGAAAAGAAATAAATAAAAGAAAAAAACAGGGTGAAAGCCAGGCACGGTGGCTCATGCCTGTAATCCCAGCTATTACACTTTGGGAGGCCGAGGTGGGTGGATCACAAGGTCAAGAGATCGAGACCACCCTGGTCAACAAGGTGAAACCCTGTCTCTACTAAAAATGTAAAAAATTAGCTGGGCATGGTGGCACGCACCTGTAATCCCAGCTACGTGGGAGGCTGAGGCAGGAGAATTGCTTGAACCCAGAAGGCGGAGGTTGCGGTGAGCCGAGATCGTGCCATTGCATTCCAGTCTGGGTAACAACAGCGAAACTCTGTCTCAAAAAAAAAAAAAAAAACAAAAAACAGGGTGATAAAAGAATGTCACAAGAAAATAAGCTATTTCAACTAGAATATAAGCTCCAGATGGACAGGAATGAATACTCCAAATCCACAAGAACCAAGGGAGATGAACGCCTCTTTCCAGAGAGGCCAGTCCCTGGTAGTCAGGGAGGTATGCATGCCACTGGCTTCTTTGCTGGAGAAGACATAGTTGTCCTCTGATAGAAGCCTCCAAAACCACTGTGCCTCGCACAGCCAAAAACACATAGCACAGGTGCTTCTCCTGTGTTTAAATATGAATTTTAAATCATATCTCCTTTTTCCTTTCCAAATGATTAAATATCAAATATACCTTGCTTTTACAAAAAACCTTTTAAGACAACTGCAATGCTAATGGTGACTCTGGTAGACCTGGCAAAAGAAAATGGAGCTGGACCAAAGGGATCCTTCACAGGCAAGGAGAGTTAAGTAGAGAGGCAATACAAGCTATTGCAAGAGAGCATCCTTAGGGCTGGAGCAGATTCAGTTTTCTTTCAAAGTCAACACAGCTTCCCTACAGAAGAATGGCCAAGGCAAGTACTGTGGGACCTCCCTTTGTTCCACAGTGGGTGAGGTTTACGGACAGCCAAGGTGGAGGTCAGCTAGCAGAATTTTAGATACAAAGTCTCAAAGTCACATGGAAATCATAGTAAACAGATGCCTTGTGTACTGAGTCAAATGCCCTTGATTTAAAAAGGGCTATCTGGTATACCAGTAATTCTGGTCAGAAGCTGGAGACTGGTATAAAGTGCTGGCTAAAAAACAGAAAAATCTGCCTATGACTTACAACCAGGTTTTGGAGCTTTTAGCAAAACAAGAAAGATATGGGGGACTTAGCAGGGTTTTTTTTCAATAAGTAAATTCATATGAAAATTAGAAAGTCAAGAGATCAATGTAGTAATTTATTGACACAACTGTGATAATTTTTACTTGAAATGTCATCCCTTGTATATTCTTATCTCTGTCCTCAGACAAATCTCCTTTTCCCCCAGTTCCTCTTGTTTTCACCTTGGCAGGATTTTTTGATGACCTCCAGAGTACAAGCATCCAGTGACAACAAACATAGCTGGGTACTGTTCACCCACCTCCTTGGTCTCCCATAGTTGTTTTGGCAGTGGCTTCGGAACATGTAACAGATTCTCTTCTTTCAGTGGGCCAGGGAAAGATGCTACTAAAGGGGAAAAAAAAGCAGCACAGTCATTTCATGAGAAGCAGCATCAAGGCCGGGCACAGTGGCTCACGCCTATCACCCTAGCCCTTTGTGGAGCTGAGGCGGGAGGATCACTTGAGCCCAGGAGTTGGAGACAAGCCTGGGAAACATAGTGAGACCCTGTCTCTACAAAATATTTAAAAATTAGCTGGGTGTGGTGGCTCACACCTGTAGTCCCAGCTATTTGGGAGGCTGAGGCGGTAGGACTGCTGAGGCCACAGTGAGCTATATTTGTACCACTGCACTCCAGCCTGGGCAACAGAACAAGACCCTGTCTCAAAAAAACAACAACAACAAAAGAAAGCGGCCATCCCACCTACCTTTGGCTAAACAAATTATCTTTGTAAAAAACGATTTAACAAATAAAATGTTTGACTTACTTAACACACAAAAGTGACTTATTTGTGGACTGTCTACTGGGGAAGGCACCCTGAGCACTACTGTGGGGGTTGCAGAAATGAGTAAGACACGGATTCAACCTTGACAGAAAGTGTAATCTAGTCAGTGGATAAGGGCAACACGTAAGTAACCATCACTGAAAGAAGAAACAAGCGGAAGCCTGAGAGAGCCGAGGGGAGATGCTGCTGAGAGGCGCTGACGTGCAGAAGAGAAGAGGCCAGGAGGCCTTTGGAGCTGGCATTGGGGGAGGCCTTAGAGACACAGGAGAAAGGAATTCCAAGAGAGGGAAGATGAGAGTAAAGCAAGTATTTTCGGCTGGAGTGTAGGCTGAGTAAAGGGGATGGTAGGAAGTAAAATGTAGAGGAAGGAGGCCAGGGCAGGGCTCTGCAGGCGTGGCAAGAGAGAAAATGGAAGGAGAGGGAGGAGGAGAGAGCCATGATAATGCAACAAAGATGAAATGGGGCAAGTACGGAGAAGAGGGGTATTATCTGGAAGACGTGGTGGTAGTGAAGCTACTTGGTTGTGGGATGGAAGTGGGGGACAAAAAGGAACCAACAACCCAGAGGATCTGAGGCTGGGTAGCTGCTGGGACCGCTGTTGGCTCTTTAATGCAATAAAACCACCAGTATGAAGGGACCATTCCAGGGCCTTCTGCTTTAACTCTCAGTCGTACCACGTAAAACAAGAATGCTGGGTCACAGAACAAGGAAATACTTTTTATTCTCAGAAAGAGACCAGAAAACAAGGCCCAGCCCTCAGGAATTAAGTGGTCTGATGTCAGGAAGGGGATTCCATGCTAGGGACGCCGGTGACTGCTCAGAACCAGGAATGCTGTTGAGTTCCAGTGGTCACCAAAGTGCCAGTGTGACTGTCATGACCATCCCGCCTTAGCCCCACACAAGATGGCCAGGTACCAAGAAAAATGGACCCCAGAAAGAAGGCACCTGAAACAGGGCCCAAACTTTCCCAATAAATTCTGAGGTAAGAGTTTGAAACAAAAACTCTAAAATAAATTTACCTTGTATTTAATAAAACCTAGTCTATAAATGCAATTGTAGACTTCTAGAATGAATTAAGTACAGGTGGGGGTCTAACTTATTTGACAGCACAGTAAGAGAAGGATACAGTGCTCTTCAGGCAACCTGCCCAGTGCCACCAGGACAGCACTCACTTCTGCTAAACTAGGCCAGGCTTTGTCAGTGTCCCCAGGTGTCTCTCGTGTCTGATAAATGCTGACCCTAGAGCTGGCTCTCAGCAAACTACAGAACAAGAAAAATGGGCTTTGAGAGCCTTTATAAACTAAAACAATAGGAGGTCAAGCATAAAAAATTGCTGTAAAAGGCTGGGTGCGGTGGCTCACGCCTGTAATCCCAGCACTGTGGGAGGCCGAAGCGGGCGGATTGTCTGAGGTCAGGAACTCGAGACCAGCCTGGCCAATGTGGGAAAACCCCATCACTACAAAAAATACAAAAAAAAAAAAAAAACTTAGCTGGGCATGGTGGTGGGTGCCTGTAGTCCTAGCTACTCAGGAGGCTGAGCTGGGAGAATTGCTTGAACTCAGGAGGCAAAGGTTGCACTGAGTCGAGATTGCGCTACTGGACTCCAGCCTAGGTAACAGAACGAGACTCCATGTCCCCCTCTAAAAAAATAAAAAAACTGTCCTGAAAGGTACTGTCAGATGCTGTGAAAAGTTTCAAGGGCTGAGTGAGGTGGCATCACACACGGCTCAAGGCTACTTCTCAAAAGAGGTTGGTTATAAGAATGTGGTTAGGGTAGACTCCAATGCCTTAATGGGGACTGTTTTCTTAGAGTTCATTGTTTTTAGTCCCTTTTCATATCTAAGATTTGGTGGAAATTCTCTGAAGCATTGAAGGAATACAACCAACCTTGAAGCCATTTATGAATTTCTGTTCTAATTGATGAGATGTTCACTGATGTTTTAATTTCCTGTGGTTTTATGAATTTCTGTTCTAATGGATTAGATGTTTATTGATGTCTTAACTTCTCGTGATTTTATTCATAGCCTGAAAGGGCTTGCCCAGAAAAGGCATACACAGAATGATTATAGAGAGCTGTGCCTCCTACAAGACGCTCCTCATTCATCATGTCCCCCATCAGTCTCACCTCTGTGACATATAAAACTAATTTTGTTGTTTATTTTCAGATTACAAAAATTAAAGTCCGGATTATAAAGATTTAGAAAAAGAAAATTGTGGCTGGTACTGAATGAATAAATGCTGTGTGGGGCCCCTCCTTTGTCAATGGCGTGGAGAGTCATTTCTATAGATCTCCAACACTGTTTGAATCGGTTTGACGAACTCAGCATCTTGTGTCAGGTTTGCATTTTCATTTCACAACCAATTTACATTTTTCTGGCACTATTTATTTATTTATTTTTTTCAGGCCCATACTGGCTAATTTTCTTTTTTGTTTTTTTCAGGCCCATACTGGGACATTGCATATTTACATATGTCAACAAAGACTTTCTAAACGGGCAGAGACTACTGGAATAATTAATTGTTTAACTGATTCATTCATATTTTCATGTGATTACAACTTCTGCTTCCTTGCACAATCTTGTGACTGTGGGGACCTAGATAAAAAGGAAGCTTTGTAATGTAACCACACATAGCTTTCTCCTGGCCTTCAACATGGCTAGCCTTAATTTTCTAGAGGCTCTCTGAAATGTAAGCCAGTCAGCAGCTGTCAGCATATGTGGGAGTCCTGAAAACATGAATGTTTATTAGTGAAGCTAATGAAAGGTTATGTCCACTACTCAGCATCCCACTCCAACACAGGCAGGTAAAATCAGTTCATACCTTCCCCATGTCCATCATTCTCACCATCACAGAAACCTAGTGGGAAAGGAAAAAAAAAAAAAACACTTTTATATGGTACTTTCATTTTCACGTATTTATGAATTAGTAACTCTATGATTTAAGTAGAATTCTGAAAATTCTAAGGCACTTTTGATACACTGATTTTCATTTAAGGTGCTTTATCATTTATACTAAAAATAGGTATAACTCATTTGAGACTAAAGTTGGTTCCTTTTTCTTTTTCTTTCCCTTTAAAATTGTCTCAGTCTTAAATTTTCTTACTGTTTCTGTCTTGAAAGAAGAACAATTTTTACAAAGCCTGAGAATCTCTATTCAAACCACAAAGTAAAAAAGTATAGATGGAAATTCTCTTCCAAATGCTTTATCATGGGGGTAAGAGCAGGTCACTCCAAAAGTCTACATCACTGTTTGATACTCACCATGGGTGTCTACAGGACAAATCCGAAGTTCCATGCTGTATGCTATTATATATATATTTCTTATGCAGTGAAGTTATTTTAAGAAGAAAATTTATCTGGAGTCTAAGTAAATTTAAAGGGTACATGAGATAGCTATTCACAGTTTTAAAACTTTGACTTGGAAGAAGTTCTGGCTAAATGAAGTATTTTTAATCCATAAATTATATCACAAATGACAAAGTACAGTATTTCCTATTGCTCTAAGCTAAAACTAAAGAACCATGCCAAGAATGTAATACCTTAGTGTTCCCCTAGGAGCAATCAAATATACCAAATAAGTTTTCAGTACAGAATCAGGATACACTATTAAATTCTAAGGCTTTAAATATAGCTTACTTACATTTCAGATAAGTTTTTGGGTAAGGTTAACCTGTAGGTTAAACTGATTAATCTATACAAGGTAAATGAAATGTCTAATAAGCATTCACTCAACCCATATTGAGTAAGTTTCTGCATCAAGTGCTAGGTGGAGCTGGATGAAACAGAGTAGGTGAGAAGACACAACACAGTAACACGGTACACGGTAGGCACATTCTATAACATGGTGGCACATTCCGTAACAGGTAGAAGATAGAAAATTTTAATAGAGCCCTGGGGTAGGGGTAACACGAAAAGTCCCCAGGAGTGTGAAGAGGTGGATAAATTAAGCAGACACACAGAGACAGAATTGCTTTGGGCTCATGGAACCAGAATCTAAGCAAGTGTTTGAAAGCTTCATCTTAGAGCACATATAGAGTCCTTGGGTAAGCTTGCTAAAACGCAGATTTTTGGGCCCAACCCTCAAAGATTTTGATTCAGAAGGTGTAAGAATCAGCCAAGGAATCTACATTTTTTTTTTTTTTTTTTGAGACAGTCTCACTCTGTTGCCCAGGCTGGAGTACAGTGGCGCAATCTTGGCTCACTGCAACCTCTGCCTCCTGGTTTCAAGCGATTCTCCTGCCTTGACCTCCCCAGTAGCTGGGATTATGGGCGCGTACCACCATGACCAGCTAATTTTTGTATTTTTTTTGGTAGAGATGGGTTTCATCATTATGGCCAGGCTGGTTTCAACCTCCTGACCTCAGGTAATCTGCCCACCTCAGCCTCCCCAAGTGCTGGGATTACAGGCATGAGCCACCGCGCCCAGCCTCCATTAATAATCATCATCTCAGGAGATTATTACAGAAGGTCTTTAGCCCATTCTTACTTAATTAGCCATTTAACCCATCTAAAGACAGGCAATGTGCATAGGTGGACACTGAGGTGTGGAGAGAAAAGCTGTGGCTCTACAGTCAGCACAATCAAAAGGACAGGAGCTTCAGATTCATGCTTGGGCTTTCCTGAGACCCTCATATTAAGAAAGGGCAGGGATTCTCAGCAAACTAATACAAGAACAGAAAACCAAACACCGCATGTTCTCATAAGTGGGAGCCAATCAATGAGAACACATGGACACAGGGAGGGGAACATCATACACCAGGGCCTGTAGAGGAGGGATAGCATTAGGAGAAATACCTAATGTTGATGGGTTGAGGGGTGCAGCAAACCACCATGGCACATGTATACCTAGGTAACAAACCTGCACGTTCTGCACATGTATCTCAGAACTTCAAGTATAATTAAAAAAAAAAAAGATGGCAAAAGAGAAAAAAGGGCAGGGAACTTGACTATTCTGGTAACTGAAAAGTGACTACCCTGTTAAAAATTAAAAACTAGGTTTTATATAGCAATCTGGTATGGCGTGTTGAAGCATCTCTTCATCATCAAGACACCAGTCATTCAAGGTGTAATTACTAAGGGTGACCTGTCCCTGAAATATGAGGACTCAACTGAGGGCTACTAGGTGAAATACCCCACGTGATAGCCCATTAGTACATGCTCTCCATCAGACTGGAACAAAAGGAAGTCTTCATGGAGGAGGCAGCACCTGAGGTGAAGAAGAGGATAACCAACAGCCAACCTGACTGCTCACTTACTATGTGCCGGATGTTTCACACAGGTGATCTCATATCATCCTCACACCAACTCTGTGAGGTGGGCGCTAATATCATGCCCAAGGTCACACTGCTAGTAAGTTCTGGGACTAGAACTCTGGCCTGTGTGTCTTCAGAATGTTCATGTCGCTAACCAATTTGTTGTAGTACCTGGAGGATGTAGACAACTGGAAGTGAAGTTGAAGGGGATGCCCAGTGCAAAGATGACGGAGGGGGAGGATCAGGGAGGGATAAGGAGAAGGAAGATGGAATAGTGTAGCATGGCTGCAGCACATGGTGAGGGGACTGGGAGCTGGGCTGGACTGAAGGAGGCTGCTGGTCATTTGGCAGGATGTGGGGGATGGAAGGTTTCAGATAGAGAAGTGACATGATCAGAGCTAAGCTTCAGAGACTGCTCTGGCAGCAGAGTAGGAGGTGATTGAAAGAAGAAAGCCTTAAGGCAGGGAGGCCAAGTAGAAAACCCATGCAACAGTCCAAGCAAACAGGGACAAAGTAGGATACTGGCAGCAAGAACAGAAAACTAGAGGCAGATTTCAGACATGCTGCAGGGATAAAATGAAGTGGACCTGGCTACTGAATGGGCGTGGAAGGGGAGTAATCATGGGGTCATGGGAAGGGTAGTAATTAAATGCAACTATCAGGGTTTGAGCTTCAGTGCCCAGAAGGCTAGTGGTGGCAATGACTGATACCCTGGCACCAAGCTAACATAAAATCAAAATATCCTATTTTTGGATTGGATTTTTACTACTATATTAAACACACACACACACACACACACACAAGATATCACTACAAATAAAGGGTTAAAAAAAAAAAGGAATGAGTTGTGACTGGATATCTGCAAACAGAGGACACTAATTTTATCAGTCCCACAGGGATGGGACAGCGATGACCAAGGCTGCATCTGTGTTCCAGGAAACCTCACAGCCTCAGAGCCACTGAGGGCTGGTCTTGACCATGTCCCTTCTGTGCGCTCCCATGCCTGGAACACCTAAAATAACTCCTCACACAGCCTTGATCTGCTAAGTGGAAGGGAAGGCTAGGGGAAGACCCCGAAACCTCAGTGTCCTAAAGGACACAGCCTCAATCTGCTAAGTGGAAGGGAAGGCCAGGGGAAGACTTGTAACCAATTTCCTAAAGGAAGCCTCCAGTGTCTTAGTCTCCCATTCTGGTCCCTCTTAACCCCAGGTGACACTCTGTTTGCCCCTCTTCAGATCTGGGATGCTTGTACCTGCCACTGTGCCCCTGCCCAATCCATGCAATTAACAGGCTTCCATCTTTCAAGGTTATTTGCACTGTAAACCTTCTCCTTAATGCTGCAGGTCAGGTGAAAGGTTACTGGGTCCGGGGCATGCCAAGCCCCCTCCATCCTAAGGAGCTGAGGACTGTGGTCCCCAAAGATGGCAATGAACAGCATCTATAGTGCTGGGTGCAGAGAAGACAACTATCACACACCCTTCTTTTTCCTGAAAGGAAGAGGACTACCCCAGCCCCTCCTCCACATGCCCGTTGATGGGAGGGGTGTTAGGGGACAGTCCTAGGCTATGGGACAGGGCCCGTGTCCCAGAGAGCCTTGTGCTTGCTTCTCTGCACGTATGTGTGAAGTGGTCATCAGGCTGCACGTGCTGCCAGGGAAATGGTCAACATTCCCTCTTTACAGATTCTAGATAATTAAACAAAAAGAGAGAAATTATAAAATCTTGTTTGGCTGCATAAAAATTTATTTCCATCATTTATACCAACTGCTTATCATTTATGCCTAACTGTCATGCAACTCAATGGCCATTATGAAAATTACTCAACATGTATCAGGCTTTGTTTTCTTGTGACACAAATCTCCACTCATGAATGGTCCATAGTTTACTGCTCATGCAGTTCAGCTGTGAGCAGATGCTCTCATCATCAGCTCACATCAACAACAACAATAATAACAAAAAAGTGTGGCTACCTCATTCTGCTCAGGAGACTCCCAGGGAAAGAGCAGTTATTGCTTCTACATAGAGTTCAGTTCCGGCTTCAATGATATTTTCCCTTCACTTTTTAAACCTTTATTTAGTTGCTCCTATAAGAAATACCTTTTTGCAAAGCTAGTTGATATTTTTAAAACCCAAAAGGAAAGAAATGAAAAACTTTAATGAAACACAGCGGTAAAATACATGAAACGATTTAAAATAGCTCCCACCAACAAATATAATTCTCCAGAAATAATTTCCATCCTTGGAGACTTGGATAATATTTTAAACACACTGGCTTTCCCATGTAAACACATCCATATTAGGCTGTGTTTCTGAGTTCTGCTATATTGCAGGGCAACTGCAAGGAGCAGGCACAGTTCAGACATCCGAGCTGGAGGCCAGCCTACCCTCCATGGGTGTCAGAGATTGGAGCCCAACAATTTTTAACTGCTGATTTGAAAAGCAGAGACCACCACGATTCTCAAGTCAATGTAGGAACCCTGCTCCAGGATTTCTTTCTTTCTTCCTGTTTTTCCTCATTGCTCTGTCTACCTAGACCAATATTCACATTCCTTTGCTCTTCTTATTCCATCCTCACTTACACTTTCTGACATTTCCCACCTCTTCTCCCAGAGCCTACATCACTCAGCATGAATACTTCAACTCAGGTAACTGCTTTCTTTATTTCCTTTCTTTTTCTCCACATGCAAGCCTCTGAAAGTCCTCACTTGAATTACCTGTGATTCCCTTGTTTCTCTAGGCCTTCGGCCCTTTCTAGAGAAGCGTGAACTTTGCAGAGGGCAGTGTAAATGAAGGAATAGCAGAAGCAGAAATGTAGGGGCTCCAGGGTAAAAATCTGTCCATCTGGCTGGCTCCCGTCCCTTAGGATCCTGCTTTGCTCACAGGCGCCCCCACTGATTGCAGCCTCTGTTCTTTTTAGGCTTTGTTTACATATTCCCATCTCTACCTATCCTGAAACTAAATGAATCCCTCTTCCCACACACCCTACTTCTCTAAGCAGTCAGCAGTGACCCATATCCAATTTCAACATCATCACCAACTTTAGTATTCCCATGTGTGGAAGCATGGCTCGATGTCCCTAACCAATTCTGAAAGCTCTCATAGTTTACAAGCAAACAACCATTTAGGCAAATGTAGTCTTCTCCAAATTGCACCAATAGAACAAATATAGTAGCAATTATTATTAAATCCTGTCCCTGCTATTTACAAAGAAATAAGTCCATGAATGTTCTCCTGGAAGGAAAAGAGGCCATTTAGGCTTTAAATTGTCCAAAAAGTAAAGAAAACCAGAAAAACTGGTTTTGTGGCTAAAGGTGTATTTATTCCTGTTTCAAGAACAAATAGATACACAGCCCTGAAAGTTTTTGGTCAAGAGTCAATCTGCACACAGAATGGATAATTCAAGACCATTGTTCTTTCTAGATTATAAACCCCAGAAAAGTAGGCTCGGAATGTGTCTGAATGACCAGCCTCCCTCACTTCATACACAGGTCAGATGCCAGCACCTAGACGGTGTTTTGGCAAGTGCTGTGCACATGTGAGCCCCTGTGTGATTCTTTACACGTCTCCATCAGTACGGGCTCCTCTGTGCTGGGCACTGTGCTAGCAGCTGGAGAGAACAAGACCATTAAGATGCTGCCTTCAAGAAATCTACACTGAGCAGAGAAAGAGCAGCATATCCACGTAAACAAGCCGCCAAGCAGTGCAGGTGCTACGACAGCAGTCTGGGATGTTAGAAGGACATGGCAATTCTGAGCTGAGAGGGAGGAAGGTCAAGATGGCTCCACAGACGTGGGGACACACACAAGCTAAGGCTTATGGATCAAGAGGGTATCGGCCAGGAAGGCCGGGAGTGAGTGAGAGAGGAAGAGAAGGGAACAGAAGAAACAGTGGTACCCGAAGTGGTTCCCATGGTTAACTTGGGTGTGAGGCGGGGGAGCAGAGAGAAAAGGGAGAGGCAGACAGGAGCCAGACCTTGGGGCTCATGCTATTCCAAAGAAGATCTGGGTCTCCTCCTGAAGGTGAGAGGTGGCAGTGAGGATTTTAAGCAGGAGAGCAAGATGATCGGGTTTGGGTTCTCTCTGAAAGCAGATGCTGTGAGATGGCATGTGTGGGTTACTTCTGGGTTCTCTCCATGCCCTTACACTGGCAGAGGGCCAACCGAACAGGGGATGCGCAGTTCCAGTCCAGCCTCCTCATCTCCTTCTCAAGGGCGTGCCTTCCCTCAGGCAGCAGGCCTCTGCTCTGTCCTTGCCTCCCCAGGCTTACCTGATCCCCTCCTCCCGGGGACCACGCTGGCCAGTGCTGCCGGCCACTCAGCAGGAGTCAGCCTCACGATGGGGTTCAGTCACAACAGGCCCACTGACCCACAGAGACAGCTGCTTCCTCCTCAGTAATAAAGTAGTCTCCTCAGTAATAAAGGTACTCTAGCTCTGTCTGTCACTTCTGGCTTTACCTTTCACTTTGTTCAGATCCTGGGTGGGAAAAGAAGACTCTCGGGAACCTAACATAAAATTGGATCGAAGGGATGTGAGACTGGAAATCAGGAGACAAGTTAGAAGTTATTAGAAGATGATGGATGCCCAGAAGAGGGCCAAGAAACACCAACAAGGAGAGCATGCCTTGGAGGAAGCAGGGCAGAGGCACGACGGGACCCCAGGAGCTCCATCCATCCTGACTGCATCCCGGACACACGCTTCCCCTGCCACAAGCTGCTTCTCAAAGACCTCTGAACCGGGCAAGCGCAGACACTATTTCAGCCTCTGTCTCCCTCGGACCCGAGGACAGAATGACAAGCACAGCTGCTGTCAGCAGTGGCCTGTGTGTCTTACCCATGTATGGGGCAGGCCAGGCCGACTGGCCCGCTCCTCCATAGGGGTCCTGGGGCTTGGTGCTCAGAGCACTCGTGTGAAGAGCAGAATCAGAATTGGTCCTAAGGAGGGGAGGAGAGAGTCTAGCTGAAAATCTGTTTTCCTTAGTGAAAATGCAACAGTCTTTGTTGAATAATAACAATGGGAAAGAAGGCAAGAATAACTGACTTATAATCATCAAATAAGGGGTTAGGACCTACCTGAAGTTCTTTACATCAGAAACAGCCTCTGAGGACAGCCCACACTCCCGAATATTTTAATTATATTCGTGTAGCCTTATACACTGACGCTGATGGCTTGGTGACTAGTTCAACAAGGCGGGCCTCGGATTCACAGCTTCCTTCCAAGATCTTCCTATTCTCCCCAGCTCAGAAGCTGGCTGTGGCCAGTTTAGCCTGTGGCTACACTAGGTTTTCTCCACCAGAGAGTAACTGTTTCTAAGTAAAGGATCACTTAGAGCAGTGGTTTGCAATACCCTTCCAGGGAGAAGGCAAGGTCAAGACTAATCTCAGAATGACAGTAAAGGCTCCTCTGCCTTTTCACTCTTGCTCTCCCCCTAGCACGGTGGGCTGCACAGCGGCCATGTGAGATGTGATATCCCACTGCTGAGTGCAGGAGCAGAGAACCCAGCTGCCCTGGAGACATCTGTAAAAGCTGAGCATTACCACTATTCTCAATACGTTTTTTTGTGTTTCTTTTAAAAAAGATCTAATTTATGTTAACATGTAATGGGCTTATTATTTTTTAAATTCACTAGTATCTTTTTAAAAATCTCTCAATTTAGTTTCTAATATCAATAGTTATACTCACATAAACAAATACTATTTGAGGGCCTCAATGTTTTTTATTTAATTTTTTTTTTTTTGAGATGGAGTTTTGCTCTTGTCCCCCAGGCTGAAGTGCAGTGGTGCTCACTGCAACCTCTACTTCCTGGGTTCAAGTGATTTTCCTGTCTCAGCCTCTCAAGTAGCTGGGATTACAGACATGTGCTGGCTAATTTTCATATTTTTAGTAGAGATGGGGTCACCATGTTGGCCAGGCTGGTCTTGAACATCTGACCTCAGGTGACCTGCCCACCTCGGCCTCCCAAAGTGCTGGGATTACAGACATGAGCCATCATGCCGGGCCTCAGTGTTTTTTACTTTATTTTTTTTGAGATGGGATCTTGCTCTGTCACCCAGGCTGGAGTACAGTGTCATGATCCCGGCTCACTGCAACCTCCACCTCCTGGGTTCAAGCAATTCTCCTGCCTCAGCCTCCTGAGTAGCTGGGACTACAGATGTGTGCCACCACGCCTGGCTACTTTAATATTTTTAGTAGAGATGGGGTTTCGGCTATTTTTGTATTTTTAGTAGAGATGGGGTTTCAATATGTTGGCCAGGCTGGTCTCTAACTCCTGACCTCAGGTGATTCAACTGCCTGGGTCTCCCAAAGTGCTGGGATTACAGGCATGAGCCACCGCACCCAGCCTCAGTGTTTTTTAAGACTGTAAAGTGGACCTAAGAGAAAACTTTGGGAGCCACTAATGTATAGCAAATTTCTGAAATTCTCCCAGCTAGCTTCAGTGTCTACGAAGCCTTGGATGCAAGACACGATTATTTATTTATCTCATCATGAGGTCAAACTGTCAGCCATAAGGAGGACTGGTAAGCAACTTCATTAGCCTACAGTGCTTGGTGGTCCACTCCAGTGACAGCCTCAGGTGGCTTCAGAGGAGGAAGAGGCAGACAAGGGCAGAACCCATAGTGCAACAGAAAGAGCATGGCCGCTGGGATCAGAGAGCTGGATTCAGATTCCAGCCTCTTTACAGATTCAAACAGACTCAAGAGAACATCAATCAAATGTGGAGCCAACTGGGAAAATCTAAATATAGACTGGACATTAAATCACATTAAGGAGTTATTTTAAATGTTGTTAAGTATAATAACAGCATTGTGGTTGTTTTTTAAAAAAGGTTCTCATCGGCCTTACACTGCTGGAGATATATCCAGGTAAAATATTGTATCTAGTCAGTCAGGGGACTAGGGTGGGAGGTAGGTTTAGAGAGACTGGCAGAATGCTGATAACAAGTGAAGCTGAGGATGGGCACCAAGGCCTCTTATAACACTTTTGTTTGCGTGTATTTAAAATTGTGCACCATTAATCAGGTTTCTTTTTGTTTTTGGGACAGCTTCTTTCTGTTGCCCAGGCTGGAGTGCAATGGTGCAAACATAGCTCACTACAGCCTTAACCTTCTGGGCTCAGGTGATTCCCCCGCCTCAGCCTCCTGAGTAGCTGGAACCACAGGCATACCTTTTTTTTCACCCATAGAGACAGGGTCTCACCGTCTTGCCCAGGTTGGCCTCAAACTCCTGGGCTCACGTGATCCTCTGGCCTCAGCCTCCCAAAGTGTTGGGGCTACAGGCGTGAGCCACTGTGCCCAGATTTTTTTTTTAAATAAATACTAGTCCACCTATTAGCTAAGGCCCTTAAACAAGTCACTTCGCCTTTTAGAATGGAAAATAATACTCATTCTTGTAGGGTGTTGTCAGGATTGAAAAAAATGACTGAGGAGTTTGGCCCAAAGTGATTACAACAACAGCTGATGTTTATTCAGAACGTATGTTTCCCAGAGTTATCTTATTCAACGCATGATCTAGGGCCCATGATCTCTATTTTTCAAATGAGTAAACTGAGGCAATCAGAAGTTAAATAATCTGCTCAAGGTCACACAGTAAGACGTAACCCCTAGTGGTCCCACCCCAGACCTCGTGTGCTCTGTACTGTCCCCTGCAGACACTTAGTACATGGTGGGTTTTATTTTTAACACATCATATCAACACAGCTTATATAAACACACTCTGGCAACTGGATGCTACGTAAAAAATATCAGGACGGTTACACTGCTTTAAAATCTACTTCTAGCAGAAAACAACCCATGTACCTGTTAAGTGCAGATGTCAGCCTGAACCCAGGATGCTTTTCTTCTTTCCAAGGAGGCTGCTGCCTTTAAAAACCAGAACATCGTAAAAGGAAAAGAAGTCAATCCACAGAGAGCAAAGGAGGTCCTCAGCCCTGCATCTCAGAACTGGCTCTTCTACTCACCTCGCTCTGCAACCTGAGAGTCACTTAAAAATAACCCATGCCTCACTCATTTTGCCCATCATTGTTAAAATGAGGTAAGACTGAATGATCCCTCCAGTACTGTAACCTCCAATTTCCAGTATAAGAAGTACTAAAAACCCATAAGGAATCAGAGTAGCTAGTTGGGCAGATGAGTTCAGTGTACACGTAGGGGGCACCTTGGCAATCTTGGATGCAAAAATTTTGCATTCCCGTGCCAATGGCCATGAAAAGGAATGTAACTGTTATAGTTACCCAGGGTATGAAAATATTAGTTTAACCAATCCTGGTGCTCTGAAAATCAGAAGACATTTCTTGGATACACAAAAGAAAAATATCAGTTTGGAGATGCCTTTTACTGATATAATAAAATACTGTATTTATTTTACAACCCTGGATCCCAAGATTCTTGGGGACAGCTGAAAATCTACTTGAGATGGGGCCCACTGTCATCCATCTTTATTTCCTTTCCCAGGTCCAGACACATCACACACAGTAAGTGATCAGTCAGTATCTGCCCAGAGAATGGAGGGAGAGCAGACTTCAATCCAGAGAGCTAAATATTTTTGATACACATATTTTAAATGCCTCCTGAATCTGATTTGGTGATGTGAAAAATTACACAACGCACACAACAGGTGCAGCGGCTTTTTCTCCATTAATTCTATGTTCTGTTACCCTCTGTTGGATACAAAAATACTCAGAGACCTTAAAGCAAATACACTGTGCAAATTACCATTTTAAGAGTCTTTCATCCTTTTCAGCAGCTTACTAAGACACTCTGAGAAAAGATGTTGATTTTTCTGTCTCAAACGTAAGAGTGCCATATCAGAATATTCTGTCGATAAATATATTCCAAATGTGTTTCTATTTGGTTTTAAATATGAAGATCTAGACTTCCTTAACTTTTCATTTTAGACTTTCATATAAGCCTATCACTGGAAACGCTTAGGTGTTTTTTTGTTTTCTTTGTTTTTCTGAGATGGAGTCTCACTCTGTCACCAGGTTGGAGTACAGTGGGATGATCTCAGCTCACTGCAACCTCTGACTCAGTGGCTCAAGTGATTCTCCTGCCTCAGCCTCCTGAGTAGCTGGGATTACAGACATGCACCACTACGCCCAGCTACTTTTTGCATTTTTAGTAGAGACGGGGGTTTCACCATGTTAGCCAGGATGGTCTTGATCTCCTGACCTTGTGATCCACCCACCTCAGCCTCCCAAAGTGCTGGGATTACAGGCGTGAGCCACTGAGCCAATGTTTTTTTGTTTTTTTTTTTTTAAGAGATGGCATCTTGCTATGTTGCTCAGGCTGGAGTGCAGTAGCTAGTCACAGCTCCATCATAGCACACTACAACCTCAAAACTCCTGGTCTCCAGTGATCCTCCTGCTGAAATTAAATTTTATAAGAGAAAACAGGATTCTATGCTTTATATTAGAAATTTCTAAAACAACATTCAAAGTGGATAAAGTTAAGCAAAATTATCTACAAACAACACACATCCATCATAACTTTTAAAGTGTGTCTTGCTTACCTTGGCCAACTCTCATCCAGAGGCTGTGAAGAATAATTGGCTCCAAAAGCACTACCATCAAAGTAGAATTTTTAATAAAGGAAAAGTAAAAATTAATGGAAAGTTGAAGCAGAATGAACAAGGTGAACTCAGAGAGCTAATTTACTGAGTTTTTGGCTCTTATCTTTATTCCTGTACCTGACAGCTCTTCCTTAATGCTTTCTCTCATCACCCTCCTCAAGGACAGTCTATTCTGCTGTCTTCTAACCAGTGCTTTCTTTGCATGGTTTTTTGTGGGGTGTTTGTTATTTTTTGCCTGCCTGGCACCTTTTGTTTTCAGGAACTATTGCCACTCTCACTTCAAACCTGCTAAGGTTGCTATTCCCTCTGGGCCACATGGGAGGGACCCAGGCCCAGGATTCTAGCCCAGGTACTTCACCCTCTGGGAACAGTGTTTGGCTCAGGGATAGGCACAAACAGAACCAAGGAGAGTGCTTTTGAGGGAAAAAGAGGAGTGCCCCAGTAGAGGTGGTGTGAGCCCAGGGGTGTCTGAATCTGGGGGTTTCACCACGGAGAAAGCCTGTCTATTACGTGTGAAGTCATCCCAGAGGTGGCATCACAGAGGTTTCGATGATATTGTATGACCCCTTGGATCTAGCCCTTGGGCTTCTAGTGACATAAGCCCGTACATTTTCTCTTTTTAAGTTCAGGTGGGTTCTTGGTATTTACAGCCAAAAAAGAGGCACATTAGATGTGTGGTCACTGTCTTATCAATCATGTGTTGTTCACTGGGTCCGGCACTCCTTGGAGCATATTCTGGGCACCTGGAGACACAATAGGGGTGTGGCATACACACTGAGTAGAGAGGCACTGTTTTCATTCATTCAGGTAACTGTTCCCACACACGGCCTTCTGAAGACATGTTAATCGCTTTATTCTGCTAAGAAATCTTCATTTTGTTCAGCCTAAAAGGCAAAACTTATTGTGGTGCTCCACAATTTGGGGCCAATGGCCTCTTCTGCTCTTGTCCTCCCTGCAGCTGTCTGGGTTCCACAAACACAGCCTGGATTTTCCTGCCCCTCTGCCTTTGCAGGAACACAACTTTCCCTTTCTCTCCTCCTATGTGGAATGCTGCCTCCTTATCACTCCCCCAAACCAAACCCATTCCTTTTGTCTCCTGGATCACTGACTGGATGAAATATACATTTGGCAGTTACCAATAACACTTTTCACCCCAAACCTTTATTTCTTAAGGTGGAAATATTAAAGAAGATACAAGCTATACATCACATCAAGACAGAAATTTGAAAACAGATATCTAAGCAACCAACTGTGTGCCAGGCCTGTACTGAGTTCACACTTTCATTTAATCTTAACAATCCTGACAGGCAGATATTTTCCCCATTTTACAGCTGAAGAGACTGAGGCTCAGTTCTAGAAGAGCTGAGAAATCCAAGACCAGTAGCTGGCCTGGTGGATGAGGGGTCAGACCCACAACTCACTGATGCCAAAGCGTGAGAGCTCTCCGCTAAGCTATGCGGCCTCTCAGGAAACAGTGAACTGTACCACGTGCCCCAGAAAATAGAAAATAGTACCTGGAGTGTTCTGGCAAGAAGGATGGAGGAGGGTATAAGAGAAGGTATCATCTGCTCGGGCTCAGGAGGAAACAGGAGCCTTGATGGAGTGGGGCCCTATCCTGCAGGCCTGGGCTGGGCAGCTCAAGTAAATACACAATCTGGAATTAGGAAAATGGAGGCTCTCATGAGTTCTTAATGATTTAGTGGGAAATGTCTTATTTGCCAGGAGAAGCATTAGAATTGCAAGTTTCATCTTCTATGTATCAGTTTTCTTTGACATGTCTCATTATCTTATTTCTTAATTTGATCCTGAATCAATAAAATAAAACAGGTAATTTCCCAAGGAGATGTTTCTTCAATGTTCACTATTAGGCTTAATGTAATACATGAAATACAGATGAGGCGAGACCACAGTAGGAGGCAGGAGAGGAAAAGGTGATAAAGAGGAAGGCCTGTGAGAGACAGACTATCAGTATTTCTGTTGGCAAAGCCATTCGGGAGGAAACACCGAGACTTGAGACCTACGGTTATCTGCCTTTCTCTTTTCTGCAGATTTGATTAATATCTGTACAGAAATGCTTAATTTCAGGAAGTAGAAGTTTACCCTTTTTCTCAGTACACTGCCATCTTTAAAGTCAATATGTCCGATTTCATAGTATTGATGATACAAATTAGAATGCAGTGGTGTATTAGTTATGGAATGATCAAATGTTTGTGATTTCAATGTTGAGTGTAAGCATTTTAACCTTCCTGTTATTAACAACACGAAAAGAGAGTAAATTCCTAGAAAGTTTTAATTTAATTAGGCTGAGGCATCAAAAGTTAAAAGATGTGCCCTCTGAGCTCTTTTAATTTTTACTGTCTCATTTAATTTAGTGATATTTGAAAACTGAGGGAACCACTGATGTTATAAGCTTATAGTTAAATTCAATGCAAGGAAAACCTAGACAAAGTTTATTAGTTCTTTGAAAAACTTCAGAAAACTTCATTCAGGTGGCTTTAAATACTGTGCAACATTGACATGCCCTAAATAAAAACCTCAAGACAGAGAAAACACTCTTATTTATAAACTTGAATTTACCATTTATTCAAGAAACATTGCTGGCATGCCTGCCAGGTGCCGATGTGCCAGCAGAAGGGACGCACAGGCGACAGGGTTTTTAACAACCTCACTAGCTCCTCCTCCACTGCTTCCTTAGTTAAGCTTAGTGAGCCTTCCGCTCACAGAAGATTTCCACATTAAAAAAGGAAGGCAGGGAGGTGGGATAACGAAAAAGATAAACAAAGAAGAGGTGGCTGCAACGGATGGAAACAAAAATTAACGTTTAAAAAAAAACCCACGCTTGCATGGATCTTTTCTTACCCCTCTGTGCTCTCCTCTCCACCCTGCTGCCTTCTGGCCCAGTGTCCCCTGGGGTCCTGTGGCCTCTCAGGCCACGCCTTGCACTGGGCACCAGGAAGAGTGGGAGCAGATGGAGGGGGTGGCTGGAGCCTCTGGGCACAGGCACTTTGGGAGGCGCTTCCTAAGGGCTTCAGAGCCAGTGCCTGTCGTCCTGGTGGAGAGCCCCTGTCCTCCATGTTTGCCTTGGCTAATCCCATCCTTCCCTGGCCCCAGCTGTCACCCACAGTCCAGTAACTCTTAAATCCACACCTGCAGTTGCCAACAGTTCTTGGGAACTCCACGGGCATATTTTCAACTGGCTACTCAGGTCCTCTGCCAAAAGTACCCAAGACAGCTCAAATTCTACTGAAATCCAACCAATTACTGTCCCTTTCATCTGCTGTTCTTCTTACAGTCCATCTTATTTAGTGAGGGCACCATCCACCAAGACACTCAGGTTAGGATCTCAGAATCATCCCAGTCTTTCTCTCTGCCCAAGCCTCCGCAGTTCTGTGTAGGAAAATCTTCCTGTTCGAGTTACTGCCTCAATCAATCAACACAGGGACTCCTGCTCCTCTCAGCCTGGGGAGGGAACGGTTCTTACTCACTCTTCCCCAAAGGAAGGGGAGTAGCTCTTCTTCTGCTGATAAGAGAGGACATCAGCTGGCCCGTTTACCAGTGGGTGGGGATACCGAGCTACAGAAGCTGAAAATAAGACCCGCCCTGCCTCTTTCTTTGTGCAGCCTGACCTGCAGCTGGGTGAGCAGGCGCAGGGTTCCCTTCTCTTGGCTTCCTATCTCTATGCCGGTCAGTGTACCTGGGCAGGGCTCAGGAACTGCCTTCTGGCAGCAGCCTGGAAGCCAGCCATTTTCTCTGCTGCTCTAAAACTCTGTGTTCTGCCAGGGACACAGTTTGTGGGGCGAGCCTGCAACCCTCCATGCAGCTGGTGGGGTAGGTGGACTTGGGGGTCTGCTTAATAGAACCCACCTACCAAGACAAGTTTCAGGGTCAGATTTAATACAGAAAACTGGCCACAATTTGGCTCCATCCTGATTTCTCAGCTATGTGCTTACTGTCATTCTACTTCCTTTTGTTCCTTTACCTCCAACTATGTCCCACTAGAATACATCTTAAAGTCAAACTGTAAGGGTCGCATATGAGTGGCATCTTTCTGAGTCCTTGCATTTATCAAAACATCCTATTTCCCTCAGCACAGGAGAGGCAAATATGTTGCATGTGGTATTGTGAAGTCAGAATATTTCCCCCTTAACATTCTAGAGACCAATGTTTCCTTGTCCTTCAAGAGGAGATGGATGTTAGGTAAAAGTGGGATTTTGTGATCACATAAATTTCGGAAACCCTGGGGTAAAGAGAAGTTGTTTCTTAACTGCAGGACTTTTCAGAGTCCCAATATATACGGTCAGGCTACAGCGTCCTAGAAACCAACGTCGTAACATTTTCAGCTCATTATGATGAAAAGAACCAAGGCAAGGCCAGGTCCAGAGAGGAGAATCATTCCTAACGCTGCAGTTCTTAGGCCTCTCTTCATGAGCCTTCAGGCTAGTGAGCCCTCTACTTCCTTTAAAGGAAGGCATTTTCTACACTTCTTCAGTATGTCTCCTTCTTTCTCAGTGTGTTACCCACAAGTCTGAGAAAATATTTTATTTGCTATAAATGTTATGTGACTAGTTCAGAAGTTCAGCGATGGTGTTTAGGACCCGGCATGTCTGCCACCCTTGAGGAGTGGGAGTGAGAGGGCTGCTACAGACTGCATAGCTGCAGAAGGGCAGAAGAGCGTCTATTCCAAGTGCTCGAGCCCAGGCCCCCAGCCAGGAGCAAGCCCTGACAGTGCCTCTCCTCTGCCTGCATGGGTCTAGGGCAGGGCCCAGCTGCAGTTGTGCCTTGGTCTTCTGTGGCTGCCCGTGCCAAGGGCAAAGCCCACTTCAGAAGGAATCTCCTGTCCAGAGCTCTGCACACTGTGCCTGCCCACTCTGAGAGGAAGCCAGAATATTCATTAAACAATGTTCATTTTCTTCGAGATCACCCAACTGTAGGAGGGAACTCTCAGAGCCCTTGTCTAAGCCAGTGTGCCCTCCTTAAATAACACCCAAGCCAAGAAGCAGCTGTTTAAGAAGAGAATTCTGATTACATTTTTTTCCTTTTGTTCTAACAAAGATTCAAACTAGTTTTTTATACTTCCAAATGATGAAACTTCATTAAAAAAATAATAGATAAATGTGCAAGGTCAAAATTTTAAGCAAATTATTTCACAACCAACAGAATGGAGGCCATGAAAGCAAAGATGGAATCACAGCCCATGAGGCCCTCCAAGCCCCTGAGCTGCCTCCCTGCAGATGCCATACACCTCCAAGGTTTCCCTTTTCATGGATCCTTGATTCCTCAAGACATGGTGAAAGAACTTTCTTTGCATCACAGATGTCCAATCCCAGCACCCCAGTTTAGGGGCTTAGGAGACCACAAAGACATGGCTCATGATCAGTGACTCTGACTCATACTGTCTAATGACTTTAATTTCTCTGCATATTAACTTGGTTTTTGCTTCTCCTTCCTTTAGGAGTTGACTAGCTTTGCTAATACTTTCCAGTTGATCCCTATAGTGCCAGATTATACTGTTGTTAAGAGACAGGGTCCCCGAACAAAGGAAGTCGCCTCTCTTTCTGGGACTTTGCACCACATTCTCTTCCCTCTGCTTGAAACATACCCTCCCAACCACTTTACTCTCTTAAATCTCACTCATCACCATTTAAAGCCATTTTCCTTTATTATTTTTTGCCTGTTTGCCATCATCTCCCACAGGATTGTAAACTCAAGAAAGCAGGAACTATGTCTCCCTATTCATCACTGGGCTTACAACAGGGCCTGGCACAGAGAAGGGGCTCTGTAAATATCTAATGAATGAACACTTTCTCCTCTTGCTTCTTATCCCTCGAGCCTTAGATTTCTCCCAGGATGACTTCATTTCCCCAGACTGGTTCAACCTGCACCTCTGACCTGCTCCCACAGCCCCAGAGCTGCCTCCCTGCAGTCACCAGACTTGCCGTGGCTGCTTGTTTGCTGAGCAGCCTCTCCCACTAAACTCTGGGCAACCTGAAGGCAGGGACCATGCTATGTTTACTGTGACAGTGAACTAAATGTCTAAAATAATGTCTGACCACTTGCACATACTTAACAAATAGTTTTTATAAGTAAATAAACATTCTCTTTCTTTCTCTTTCCTCAGTTCCCTCCTCTTCTGTTCCTTTGGTTAATAAAGCTATGTGTATGCTTATACATTTAGACTGTACTTGCTTCAAAAGTATCTGAGATGGCCACATATACATCCGCATACATACATATACATGGCATAATGTTTAATATACTCTACAGAAATGAGAGCACAATCAGGAGAAAGAGGGAACTGAGAACTGAAAAAACATACATTGTTAAATCAAGTAGAGAAGCACTCAGTCTTCTGCTTGAACATTCTAGGCAGTTTGGACCAGGTTTGATGTACTACTCCATCCTGACATGTGCAAATTTGCTGATGAACTGCCTCCATTTCCTTTTGCCTTTTTCATTCAGTGTCAAAGTTATCACACATTCCAGAATAGAATTCTCAAGATTATTTACCATCTTTACTTTCCTTGATAACAGCCACATAATATACAAAATCAGAAGTCAGTCCTTCTGTGGACCAAATGTGGTGTGTCCCTGGGGGCGGGAGGAAGGGGAGAGACAAACATTCCCTGAGGACATTATCTTTGCCTCCAAATAGATTAGAAACTGTGGCTGGGCACCTGGCTCACGCCTGTAATCCCAGCGCTTTGGGAGGCTGAGGTGGACAGATCATGAGGTCAGGAGATCGAGACCATCCTGGCTAACACAGTGAAACCCTGTCTCTACTAAAAATACAAACAAAAAAAAATTAGCTGGGCATGGTGGCATGAGCCTATAGTCCCAGCTACTGGGGAGGCTGAGGCAGGAGAACTGCTTGAACCCAGGAGGTAGAGGTTGCAGTGAGCCGAGATCACACCACTGCACTCTAGCCTGAGTAACAGAACGAGACTGTCTCAAAAACAAAAACAAAACCCAAACAAAAAAACCTACAGGAAGCTTGAAGGCAAGAGAAGCCGGGGTTTCCCTAGGGTGCCTCACAACTCTTGGCTCCCTTGCACAAGGTCCTCTTTTCTGCTAGTGGACACAGATGGCATGGGGAGGGTGGAGCACATGCTGAGCCATCGGCTGGGCCTAATCTGCATCCCTGCATCCTGGGCAGGTTAGTTCACCACATGCTCAGTTTCCTCATCAGAAAATGAGGGTTAGAAAAATACATGACCCTGTGAGTTTCCGAGGTCTAAATGGCACATAAATTGCCCAGCACAGTGCCTGGCATGGGCAGGTGCTCAGTAAACATGAGCGCCCTGCCCCCACTTCCTGGTTTCTGGGCTTGTAAAGCCAACTCTACCATCACTGCCAGGAATTCAGCTCTCCACAGTGGGGCCCACCCCGCCTTTCTTCGCCTTCTTCTACCCCTGAACCCTAGTTCTGAGAAGGATGAAGTGAGAGTACCGGCCCTCCTGGCACACTTCTGTGTCCTCTCCTGAAAGACCCAGCTCAGTCTGTTCCCCACATAGCAGCCCCCGCCACTGCCGCCTGTAAGCAGCACCAATGAAATAAAATACTGTCAGGTGAATTCACCATCTCCTTTCCTTGATTTCTACTTAACCACATAGAGTTTAGTGTGACTGTACATTGCTGCATGAGATTTTCCTATATTCTAGGTTTACTTTAGTTATCACTTACTGAGTTTGAGGGATCACAAATAGAAAATTATGTGAAATTTCTTAAGTTCCAAAAGCAGGTCAGCAGATCAAAAGAAATACAAATAAATCACATACCTGTATGTCCATTTTTGCTAGATAGACTAAGTCTCTGTAACCTGATTCAAAGTCAGGTTTAACTCTAACTTGGCTGAATTACACATGGTTTTTGTTGTTATTTCATGAACCTGAACTTTACTGATGCTTTCATAAACACCTACAATGTTTCCAAATTTTGACTGCAAAGATGTTTCTAGTTTCCAACTCATTTATTTGTATTGCCTCCCTTCATCAGAGAAAGATTTTGAGGCCAAAGGAGAATTGCAGGGAAGATAAATCCTGACAACTTTTCAAACATTTCAGAACACACACTCCCCCTGAAGAGTAAAAAAAGGATATTTGTCGCCCTGGCTTGTCCCCAGACCTTCGGTGGAGGGGGTGGAAGCGGTTCCTGCATGGCCTCTCCACCAGCCCGTGGTGGCGGGTTCCCCGAACATTATCAGCTTGGTGAAACGACGGCTGCAGAGAGAAGGGAAGAAGAGTTGGCCTCCAACCGTGAAATCATCACTCACGCTCAAGAACAACTGATAACAATGGCAGGTGAAAGGACTGATTGTACAGTTTTACTTATTACGCATTAGAGGGCCTTGGGTCAAGGTAAATAAAATAAAGAAGTATATGGAACTGTTTTTATATAATAACTATAAAATACTGAAAAATTGTCTGTAATGTGTTAAGAGGAAAGCTAAAAGAATGACATAATAAAAGTTGTCATGCAATTGGGGAAGAGGAATCAGAAGACTGTGAATTCATATACCAAATCCCAGAAACTAGAAAGGACACTTTGAAATGTTAAAAGAGGTGTATTTAAGAAAGAAACCGGCAAACCATGGCAGCTATTTATTCTACACTGTGTCTTTTCAAATTTTTGAGTGATTTCACAATGTTCAAAAATTTAGACTTCAGGATTTGAAGGGAAAATCAGAATTTTTTTTCTTTTTTTTTTTTTTTTGAGACAGAGTCTTGCTCTGTTGCCCAGGCTGGAGTGCAGTGGTGCAATCTCGGCTCACTGCAACCTCTGCCTCCTGGGTTCAAGCGATTCTCTTGCCTCAGCCTCCCAAGTAGCTGGGATTACAGATGTGTACCAGCATGCCCAGCTCATTTTTGTATTTTTAGTAGAGACAGGGTTTCACCATGTTGGCCAGGCTGGTCTCGAACTCCTGACCTCAAGTGATCCACCCACCTTGGCCTCCCAAAGTGCTGGGATTACAGGCATGAGCCACTGCGTCCAGCCATAAGTCAAAATATTTTGGCCACACCGAACCACACTCATCTCAGGCTGAAGTTGAGCATGGCTGCTCCGTGTAGATGGGACACCCACTCTCTTATTTTTAAACCTAACAGGCAAACCATTTCACTGACTCATCATTTGAGACATTCAGAGTGTGTAACCCCTGAGTTAAAGAGAAAAAAGGAATGCTATCTAAATACAAGTGGAAAACAAACATACAAATCATCAGTCCCTAAATGATACAAATGAAAGTAGAAACAGATTCAAGATAAATTCATGGTCAATAAATCCAAAATCCTTTTTACGGAGATGCTTGGGATATGTGCTTAACATTTTTGAGACTGGCATCACAAAGGGCAATCTTTTTGACTGTCAAAAGCCAAATCCTAGGCTGGGTCCATAAATCTCACATAATAGGGCAATGTGTATACATTATGCAATAGATGTGCTTGTGAAATACAGCAAACAGATTTTCTTCTCCCATGCCCTCCAGCATTAAGATAACTGACAAATAAAAATTGTATATATTTACACTGTACAACATGACGTTTTGATACATGTATCCACAGCAAAATGATGAAATGAAGTTAATTAACATATCCGTCATCTCACATACTAATCATTTAAAACAGTTACTTTTATGTCAACTGAATCACATGTAAAATAGGTAGCTTACTGTGAAAGGAATCCTATGACACACGTAAGTATGTTTTTACAGGGGACTTCCTTCAGCTAAAAACTATGTTTTCTTTGTTAAATATGGATTTTCTCATTTTAGATTTCAGAATTACTCCCATTTCTCCCAAGTGGACTCATAAAAAGTCTGGACTAATTTGGCCTAACAGTTCCAGTCTATTTATATAATCCAAATCTATAAACGCACAAAATAAAGTTATCTTAGCAAAGAACAACTTCTGGGCTGAAAGAAAAATAGCCAGTAGGAGATAGGTAAGCTGGATTTGATCTTACACAATGGAACACTCTATTCCAGAGACTAATACATTGAGATACCTACAAAATAATGGGACAAACTGACATCAGGTGCTTCTTGGCAAGATGCAATGAGAAGGACACAGGATAGGGTCTTATTCTGTCACCCAGGCTGGCGTGCAGTGGCACAATCATTACTGACTGCAACCTCCACTTCCCAGACTCAACCTCCTGAGTAGCTGAGACTACAGGCGCATGCCAACATGCCCGGATAATTTTTTTTTTTCTCACCATGTTGGCCAGGCGGGTCTCAAACTCCTGACCTCAACCGATCCACCCATGTCAGCCTCCCAAACTGCTGGGATACAGGCCTAAACCTCTGCACAATTATGGCCAAACTGGGGTGCTGGAGGCCAGTCCACAGGGTCGGGAGAAGGATCTTTAGAAGGGGTTCTAAAAAGCAGAGAGTTCCTGAAATGTCTTTTAGACTGTTAAGGTTATATTTTCTGGCTGGGTGGAATGGCTCCTGTCTATAGTCCCAGCACTTCGGGAGGCAGAGGTGGGAGAACTGCTTGAGGCCAGGAGTTTGAGACCAGCCTGGGAAACATAGTAAGACCCTGTCTCTACAAAAAAATATAAAAATTAGCTCTACAAACAAACAAACAAATTAGCTAGGCATGGTGGTGCATGCCTGCAGTCTCAGCACTTTGGGAGCATGAGGTGGAAGATCACTTGAGGCCAGGAATTCAAGACCAGCCTGGGCAACATTGCAAGCCCTCATTTCTACAAAAAAAATAAAAATTAGTAGGGTGTGGTGGTGCCCACCTATAGTCCTAGCTACTAGGGAGGCTGAGGCGGAAAGATTACTTGAACCCAGGTGTTTGAGGCTAGAGTGCGCTATGATCACAACACTGCATTCCAGCCTGGGCAACGGAGCAAGATCCTGTCTCTAAAATAAACAAAACAAAACAAACGCTTTTTTTTTTTTTTTTTTTTTTGAGACAGAGTTTCACTCTTGTTACCCAGGCTGGAGTGCAATGGCACGATCTCGGCTCACCGCAACCTCCGCCTCTGAGGTTCAGGCAATTCTCCTGCCTCAGCCTCCTGAGTAGCTGGGATTACAGGCACGCGCCACCATGCCCAGCTAATATTTTTTTGTATTTTTAGTAGAGATGGGATTTCACCATGTTGACCAGGATGGTCTCGATCTCTTGACCTCGTGATCCACCTGCCTCGGCCTCCCAAAGTGCTAGGATTACAGGCATGAGCCACCGCGCCCGGCAAAAGCTTTTATTTTTAATTTAACAGCTGGCCTTTTTGCATTAACCGCTGCTGGCCCAAATCCTGTATTACTGCTGGTATTCAGTTGTGGGGTGGGTGATCTCTGCTTTTGATATTTTCTTCTCTTCCTCACTGTGGCCCAATCTCAGCTCTCTGCCCCTGCAGTATCTGATCTTTCTTCAAACTATATTTGGCTTTAGCCTTCTCAATTACTTCTCAAAGACCTGTCTTGCTTATCAAATGAATTAGAGTAGCTGTTCAGTCAGGGAAGCCGGAAACTAAAGGCAGTTTAAGAATGAAGTTGGGGCCAGGCATGGTGGCTCATGCCTGTAACCCAACACTTTGGAAGGCTGAGGTAGGCAGATAGTTTGAGATCAGGAGGAGTTTGAGACCAGCCTGGCCAACATAGTGAAACCCCACCTCTACTGAAAATACAAAAATTAGGAGAACGATCCAAGATGGCCAATCGCTAACATCTCGGGATTTCAGCTCACAGTGAAAGCGCAGACAACCAGAAGACGCCACACTTTCAGACAAATTCTGGTCGCTCACGGAGCAGAAGATCCCAAGTAGAGGAGTCACACGGGTCGGCAGCACGACTCTTGTGGCCGGCGTGGCGATTTCACCAGCACCTCGCGGCAGCTTTCAGAGCAGAGCAAACAGGGCTGGCCTCCCCTTCTGACCGAGGTTTGGAGGACCCACACGGGTCCCCAGCAGGACTCCTGAGGCCAGCGCAGCGGCTGTGACGGCACCTCGGCACGGCAGCTCTCGGTGCAGAGTAAACGAGACTGGTTCCCCTTCTGACCGAGGTTTGGAGCCCCGGGAAGGCAGAGTCGCCTATTACGGACACAAGAAGGAAGCCAGACAAGAAAATTCTGGGCAGAAAAGCACCATCAGTCTTAATGTCACTGTTCTGGCCCTGGGAACTAACAACTTGGACGTTCACTTAAGAGACCTAATCTGAAAGTTGGTAATTTCAAAAACGACAGGAGGATAAATTTACAATGAGGGGAAGAAACCAGCGTAAAAAGGCTGAGAATACTCAAAATCAGAACGCCTCTCCCTCTAAAGATGATCACAGTTCCACATCAACAATGGAACAAGGCTTGATGGAGAACGAGCGCATCCCAGTAACAGAATCACGCTTCAGGGAATGGATAATAAGAAACTTCTGTGAGTTAAAAGAACATGTTGTAGCCCAACGTAAAGAAACTAAGAACTTTGAAAAAAGGTTTGATGAAATCCTATTGAGAATAGACAACTTAGAGAGGAATATAAGTGAATTAGTGGAACTGAAGAATACAATATAGGAACTCCGAGAGGTATGCACAGGTTTAAACACTCGAATTGTTCAAGCAGAAGAAAGGATATCAGAGGTCAAAGTCCAACTTAATGAAATAAAACAAGAAGACAAGATTAGAGAACAAAGGATAAAAAGGAATGAGCAAAGTCTACAAGAAATGTGGGACTATGTGAAAGACCAAATTTACGTTTGATAGGTGTACCTGAATGCGACGGAGAGAATGAATCCCAGCTGGAAAATACCCTTCAGGATATTATTCAGGAAAATTTTCCTAAACTAGCAAAGCAGGTCAATATTCAACCCCAGGTAATACAGAGAACAAATTTAAAGCAACAAAGATATAGTGGTAAAAGGATCAATGCAACAACAAGAGCTAACGATCCTATCACCCAGATACATAGAGACTTAGATTCAATGAGACAGAAAATTAATAAGGATATCAAGGACTCAAACTCAGATCCGGAACAAGTAAACTTAATAAATATTTATAGAGCTCTCCACTTCAAATACACAAAATATACATTCTTGTCAATACCACATCACACCTACTCATAGGTTTAAATGAAACATTGATTGGCCATTATTAATACCCATTTTTTTTTTTTCAGAATAAAGCAATATTTCCGTTCACCCTCCCTCTTTCTCTTCCTCTTTCTTCCTCTCCTTTACTCATTTTTTTTTCTTTCCTTCTCTCAAAAAAAAAAGAAATCAACT